TTGGACACCCACTTGAACAAAATACCTTGCGAAGGCTCCAAAATACCTTCCCTTATCCGTGACCATGACGTAAGCTAGCGCCCTTCAAAAAAGCTGCAGCAAAAAAGGTTAGATTGAATAGTCCAAAAAAACCGCATCGTGTTGTCAAAATTATGTTCGGAAAAGTCTTTAAAAGTTTGCAAAATTTGATTGACTGGGCCGTCGGAAAAGGGGTAAATCGAGAGGAGAGGGGCATTCCTTCTTACAATTTTCAAATTGTTCATTTCCCTTTGTTCATTTCTTTTAATTTCCAAAAAACCAATTTCCAATTAATAAAAAAGAAAGGAGGGCATTCATTGTCTAAAAAAATTAGCCCCTTCAGTCAAATACAAGAGCTTCGTTAATACTGGTGCCTAATTAGAGGATTTACTGGACATCAATTTTAATGCGCCATATGCGATTTTTCAAGAAAAAGCAATAGGTCAAAACAAACGGAGGTTCAGCACTTAGTCTGGAAAAGTTTTTAAGGAATTAAAACAAATGGGGACCTTGAAATATTAAGTAAACGGTTAATGGGAGTGTCAAAATTACCTTTATAACAGTAAGTCAACACTTAAATTGAAAATGCCGAGCAGCTTTTTGATGCAAAAAATTTAAGGTGCAATATTCCCTAAATGCACGGCCAAATCCTTTTCTTTATTTCTATTTGCAGTTTGTAAATTTCTTTTTCTTTTTCTGTGTCCTATAGTACTCAGAAGCCTACCCTGAGAACACCTTCCCCTCCAGGACTCACAACCATCATCGAACAAAGTAAGCAATGTGTTGTGAAGTAAGCAATGTGTTGTGAAGTAAGCAATATGTTGCTTTTATAATTTCACAGCTGTCATATTTTGTCAATTAATATCAAGAACCATAAGAAATTGTTGTTAAATCAAATTTATTGATTTCGGCTCATTTATATGCTTTTCGACATAAGTTTAAGAAATAAAATGGTTTTTACATGAATTGATTTAAAAAAATACTTGCCCTAGCTTGAATATTCATAGTAATAAGGGGAACGAAAGGTTAGCAAAGTCAGAGAGAAGGGTACAATTTACGCATCCCAGATTCAGAGATTAGGGTCCAGTTTCTCCTTGCAGGACGACCACACATGATATACAGTGAACGAATTGACTGAGCCCACCGGGCGTGTGACTAGATCGGATGCAAAAATTTTTCACTTAAGCTTTTCGAATGAAAAAAGTCTTTAAGTATTCTCATGAAACTTCAAGCGACTTTGAGAATAATGGGAAACATTTAAAACCGCACCCAAAAACATCCAATAAATATTTTTCAACTAATTGCTATACAGTTTACGTCGCTTTGTTTCAAATGTAAAAAAGATATTGGTTTTCAAAGGAACCATGTCCAAATATCTTAATGGCTAAATTAATCTCAATATGAACAGCAAGATCGACTCCCTTTATATCTCTATTTTGTTTATTACTTAGCTGAATTCATAGCCTCCCACAACAACTGGTGTCGCAGAGCGGAGCAGGGGGTGGGGGGTTATAGCCCCAAACTTTTTCGAAAACGCAAAATATCAAGAAATTGACCACCAGTTGAGCCTCTTTTTATTTGGTTTCAGCCCCCCCCCCACCCCTTATTTACTCAATGTTTGCGAAGACTGCATATCACGAAACTGGCTGTTGGAAGACTTTACGTGAGATGCGATGTGAATGTTGCCAACCAGAAAAAACTGCTGTTCGAATAGCGCGGCGCTTCCGTGAAAAACAGAGGCAATATAAACCTGTCAGTGGCTGTGTAGAATTCACAGTTGGAAAGATATTCTGAGCATTGTACATCTCGCGCAGGAGAGCTTGGCAAGTGTGTGGTTCTAGGCAAATTGCGCTACATTTCACTGGAACACGAGGATACTTGAGAAATTTATTATAACTCCAGGTTTTGTGAAACAAGTGAATATTATCTTAATCGTATTCAATGGAGTGTCCACAGCTCCATGAGAAGCTCTTCTACAAATCATTTTCAAATCCACTCAGTGGTGGTTAGGAGCACGTGGAAAGAGGCATGGAATTTGGCGCCAAATTAGTTGGTTCTTTTCAATGTCGGAAAATGCGGGAAAGATGGTACATTTTGACTTGGTAAGTTGACGTAATATATTCTAGTGTCGATGGTGAGCTATTTGACTGTTTTTTGGTTAATCTTTTTTCGGAAACATATGCGTGTGCTTATTCTTGGCCAATAACCGACTTTAAATTAGGTTACCGTCGCTTGAGAAAAACTTTATAGAATTTTAAATGCGAATCTTAATATTTACCTGATAGTCACCAACGAGACTGTCGTTGGGTTTAGGTGGGATACGGGGAGAAAGGGCAAGTGCATCTACCATCGATCGACTATCGCGGTAGGAACACGACCTGATAGAATAGGCGAAAGGGCACCTTGCTAATTATCCCGTTCGACGTACTGGCATAAGACTGTGCCCGTTTCGATCTATTCGTCGTAATGACCTATTTATATTTCACCTTATGCGCCAAATTTTTAGCTTGAAGCCTTTTGCGTACCGCAAGCCACTGGGAGGGGCAAATTGCGTACATGATTTTTACCAAAGCAAAACAATTTCTAGGGATTTTAACATAAAACCATATGATTTTAACGGAAATTGTACAAGATTTTCAAAGACTGAATTCGCCCCTCGGCCTCGAGCGTAGAAGAACCGGTGAGATCTACCTAGGCAATAAAATTGCGTATCACGCGTGCGGTATATCAAAGGAATCAAATGTAATTAAGGCCTGTCATGAGGATTAGCGCCTGTCAACATGCAAATTTTCTGACCATGAATTCCATGGCAAATACAGGGCCCTGATTGGCTGAAACGGTTCAAGCTGATTTTTTCGCCAGGATTCTGTTTAATCACGATCGATCTTGTTAATACTGATTTTTCCTTCTCCTCGGTGCGTGGATTTTCTCCTCAGAATATGGATCGCGTTCTAGGTCAGTGTGAACTCATCACCTAGCTCAATATCAAACTGGGTTTGTTATGCCTCACATTTGCCTTTCAACACTTATTTACCTATATTTTATTATTATCCCAAGCGCACAGAGCAAGGTTTTTTTCCAAAAAATGGCTGATTTATAGTAGAAAGGCAGGTTTAACTTTTGTTCTGCTGCAGCTACTTTTTCTTTAGAAATGAAAGAGGACAGAAATAAAACTATCTAGAAAACTGTTATGCATATGGAAATTTCAACATCTTGAGTTTTACAGGACATATATAATTGTAAATTGATTCTTTCGTCCTAAATAGCAACCAGGTGGAGATTAAACAAGCCAATAGTAGTATCAGAAGCAAGGATACCCTTCATATCTGAATAGAAGAAAATATTCAGTCACAAATTGATCTTCATTCTCTATTTCAGTTTTCACTTTGGTCATTAAAGAATCCGATGATGCTAACTATTAATTCTATTTTCAATTAGTTTTCTTAGGGTAATATGCTTATCTTCAGACTTCACATACAAATACATAAACATAATATAAACTGATTTGAGAAGCTAAAATCAATCATCAAATATAATTGATGCATGTTTTCTACAAAGACAAATGGAGTTAAAAAAAACACAAAAACTACCTGCTAATTAAGACCCCATTTACAACATACCACATTTGTTTGGCCTTCTTTTTAAACAAAATTATGCTCGAAATGGTATGAAATGGAGATGTCAAGCATCTTGATTCCATAAACATGTTTATTAAAACAAAAGCCATTTAATGGTGTTGTGTTGATAGGGTCTAACTGGAAATGAATAGTTGGACTTTCTACGGCTATAGCAAATTACTTGGAGCTTATAATAAAATGATACTAGTAATCATAAACTTTGCACGTTCTGATAAACATGATTCTTATTATAATTACTTCATCATAAACACAAACATTCAAAGATTTGGATTGCTTATTTGGTATTTGCAGAACCATTTTTCATAATCTAATAAATCTTTATTAGTTAACCTGATTTGCCTTATTTCACTTCGCCTCCTAAACTGCAAGTTTTCAAATATCAATCAAATTTGATTAGATCCAATATGGTTAGATTCAAGTCTATAGGCTACATCCAATACGAGAATAATGTTCAATTTAATTAGTAAACAGACAAGTTAAATCTAAAATCGACTAGGAAATGGTATTAAAAAATCAACAACTGGCCTTGTCTAGAAAGTGGAGCTTTTATTTGCATACAGCTTTGAAAATTTTTTGAATTGGGTACTTTTTCTAGTTGTTTAAAAATTCAAAGGCCATTTGTGTAGCAGAGGGTGAATGATCATCCTGCTTGTATCAAATATATAAATAAATATGTAAAATAAAAATTCCCAGACAAGAATGCATATGAAAATATCAATATATACAATTCATATCTATCAAATTCAATCAATAAATAAACTAAAAACATTAGAATTACATTTTAAATTTTTTTCTCTTTCCACTTTTCTTCTTTGGTCTCTTCCCCATAACTGATTCTCTTTTCCAATTTTTCATCAACACCTTGTTTCCTTTTTTGTTTTTCTTAATTTGGTTATCCAAAGGTTCATCCAAAGTTAAGCCTTTCAAGAAGTTGAGTCGCTTTTCAAATAGTTCCTCAGCATATTTATATAGTTCTACATCCAAATGATTCATTTCTTTTATCTTCAATACATCAGATTCTGATATGGTTTTCATGTATTCATTTGCATATCCTGTATCTAACAAAAACCAATTTTCCTGGAACCTTAAATTAAATGTCTTTTCAAAAACAAACTGGCTGTCAGCAGGTCTTTCATTTAATGAGAAATATGTCATTGCTTTCAAATTCTCTTTGGCACTTTGCAAGAGTATCTTTTCTCTTTTAATTATGCTCATTGATGAGTAGTTATAGCAGCCAACCAATTCTAGGTCTGCCATCATCCTTGTTTGTCTATTATTGGCAAGATTTCTATCACAGCTAAGGAACCTTTCTAGTGTTATATTATCTCTGGTCATGTTCTCAAAACATGAAAAGGTGTGACTTGAAGGTTGTTGATTGTTGCACATCAAGTTTGCGTGTTCCCATGCTTTTGCACGCTGGACATGTCTAAATTCACTTACATATCTCTCTACTGGGTCTCTCAACTGAGTCATGTACAAAAATTTAGGGGTTATGTATTGTCTTTGTTCCTTGAAAAGCAATGGTAAGCAATGCTTCAATGCAGTAATGTCTGGGTGTACACCACATGGCCAGGCATGACTTTTATTTATAATTGCATATCTCATTACAATCCATGGAATACCATTTCTTCTCAAACACTTGCACGCGAGTTTAGCTGTGCTTTTACATTTGCATTTAAGCTCGACAATTTGTTTTACTAATCTCTTCTCCAACTCAGTACCTCCTGTCTTCTGAATGTGCAAAAAAACAAGAACGTTATCTTTTGATTTCTTAAAATTTATCAAATACTCCTTCTGTTCAACAGCCTTCGAACTTTCAAAACCTGGGTCGATTTCATCATTAACTCCCTTCACAATTCTCCCTAATCCTGCTCGTTTCCACAAACTGAAACGACCAGCGTATATGACAATCATAGCAACCACGCAAAGAACTATAAAAAGGATAGAAAAACCTCTATTCATCTTCGTCTGATCTATTTCAAACCGCCCAGTGGTTTTCTTTTTTCTTGAAATGCCCAGCATGAGGCACAAACTTTCCCATCACCAGGTACAGGACACTTCTGCCTTTATCATCTATTTGAGGCCAGCCTCTCTTACGGACAAAACAAAACAGGATAGGGGATTAATTCAGTTAGGGGGGGGGGGGGCTCATATTTTTTTGCCCGAAAAATGCCAATGGCCATATTTTTACGAAGTATAGCCTTACGCATTAAAGCTTCTAATATTGATCGAGCAATGATTGGCAACGTCTTTAAAATAAGGCTAACTAATTAGCATTTCTAAAAAATTACACATTACAAAATAGCTTTCGAGTTTTCATTAAAAGAATATGAATATCTCCCAAGACGGCGACCAAATATATCGATTATTTTATCGATATCTTTTTCGAGAACATTGACGTTCGGTTCGATATTAAAGAGGGCGACGTTGTTTTGTCTTTGCTCTCTTACGAAGATATGTGTAACGAAGTATGGTGTTACGAAGATGTGTTTTCGCTGAACAGATGCTGCTGGAATAGTGGCCAGGATCTGCATGACTTCAGCAGAATGAGAACTAAATTCGAAATATTGTCATCATGCATAATTTTAAGCAATCCACAAACTTTTTGCTTGATCTATTTGATTTGCAGAATCTATTTGGTAAAGAAGCAAACTTTTCTGATGATTTCTTTTGAAAGGCTAGCATTCACGCTTGCATTCCTTAATGCCAGTGGCATAAGGCAGTTTAGGACACCTTAGTTTGACTATGGTTTGACAACTAAGGGACCCCGAACAAAATGGGCCCATGATGCTTTTACGAGCATATTTTTAAACTTTGTTCAAGCTCAAATAACTTTCCAAAACTTCTAAAGCTCTTCAACTGAAACTCTATAACTCAGCTCCCCTTAGCTAACGAAAAATTATCATTTTTACATTTTGTTATTGTGTTTGACGTGCTCTAAACCTTTTGATTGGATCTTCTCGCAGTCTGTAAGTAGAGGTCCTGTAGCAGATTTTACTGATTTTTCCCTAGGGCCCCAGATGCCTCCGTTACGCCATTGCCAAATGCACACAAAATTTCTTGACCGTGTTCACTAAATTGCGCGTAGATTCTCCCAAGACTTTACCCATTACAAAAGCTCATCTTTAAACAATTTGTACAACCGCTGAAGACTGAGTTTCTAAAATCCAACAAAAAATTCTATCTGACACCATTCAATGCAAAACTGATAAACTGCCACTTGCTAATGCTGACTAAAATCAGATGTTTCATCAACCATGACAGCATAATAGCCACTTGCTTTTACTTGCTCGACAATCCTCTCAATCAAGCAATTTTTGCTGTTCTTGTAGCCTGTACCCCAGTCCTCAAATGCTGCCACATTTATAAATTTGTTCGTGTCGCTTTTTTGTGTTTTCACAAAACAGGTTTCTTCAACATTATTCCATTACTGAAAGCATTCACGATTACGGCCACTTAACTCATCTCAGAGATTTATAAAAACATTATCAAAAATTGTAGCTTTCTGATACTTTTTGTCGTTTTTTACTATCTACTTGCTTTTGTTTGGGGCAGCCAGCCTCACACTTATGACTCACAAATTGCGAAACAGCTGTTTCTATATAAAAAACTCACTAGCGATCTTGATCAAAGGCTTTTAATTGATAACAAAAACAAGAACGAAATGTCACGACATAAAAATGGAAACCAGAGACAACTTGAAAGTACCCCCGTCTGGCTATTCGATTTGTTGCTTGAGACACAATAAAGACCATTAATAGGATTTAAAAGCAAGTAATCTAATACTAGTATTGTAAAACATGAAAGATGTTTAAAGTTTTGTAAAGTTTGCAAAACTAAAGCTGAATTTTAGTCAACTGAATTATAGTCAATTGAACTGTCAGTCTTAGAACTGAACAAACGTAAAGCTAGCCTTGTGCATTTTGAAATAAGTAAGTGTGATTTTCAAGCTTTAACTACGAAAGAACTATTTTCATTGGCTTGTTTTGTGTTCCTATTGTTTTAATTAGCACTGTTTTATGTATGGAGATGGTATTTGAATTTGAAATATGCTTACCTCCATGTGCAGTGGACTGATTTTAGTGGGCCAATTTCTTTTCTGGTGTTTTACGAAAAAGGGGGTTTCTACAATTTATTTAGAATTTTCTTTTTAATGAAACAGCTTGCATTAAAATTTAATTTAAATTCAATAGAAAAAGATATTGTATTGCAAAAGCACAGAAATCTAGTTGGCACATGTATGGCTTTTCAATGGTTGATATATACAGTATTGTAGAACCCCTTTTTCGTAAAAAACCTTTCATTTTGGATTTTTTTGGAATTGTTTATGCTAGGGTTTTCTTTAAAAATATTCGTGAAAATCTTTTGACAATTCTTGCAAAGCGTGAGGTTTTGAAATGTCGGTAAAGTGAAATGGATTATTACTTGTTTGTTCTAAAGATTGGCAATCAATAAATAGATTTATCTTGAGTAAACCTCGTTGTAAAAACGAGGTAAAGGAGTGTCTCTGGTGTAGAATACTCGGAACAACAGAGTCCGAAATCTGTGCGATCAAACCACAATGAAGTAAGAAGACAAGAAAGCTATGATCGGATAAGAAAGCTCTAAAGGAACTAATCAGAACTCATATTGGAAGTCAAGTAAAGAAAGCAGTAATGGACTCAAACGGTGAAGAGGAGAGACCCCCGCCACCGCCAGTAAGAAATGCATCTGCGAAAGATTTCGACAATAAACCGCTTCCGAACGTACCCCAGCTTGACAGCGAGAAGAAGAACAAGAAGATGAGCTTCAAGTTGTTTCCTGTTTGTAAGTAATATTGAGTGTTTATGAAATTATTATGTTCTCTTCTCATAAATATTTCGATTTTGAATTTGCCTGATTTCCATAAATGTCTACTTTCAGCCAAAAAGAAGCCGGAAATTTCTCTGCCAACCCAGTTTGAACATACAGTTCACGTTGGATTTGATCCCGTAACTGGCGAGTTCACTGTAAGTTATTTTTTATTTTTCGTCGTCTTCTAGTTTTTAGTGAAATTGCTAAAAATTCGAGCTTTTTCATAACATCTAGACCTTTTGCTCAAGTGTGCAGCCATACTCAGTCTTGTAAACAACACTGAATATTGTCGGGCCCCAGCTGTCCAAGATATCATCACTTTCTAAAGGTCGATTAGGCCATTTAGGCCCATTTTGCTCTTTCCGCATCCTGTATTTCGCATCCGGCAACTACTTATTTGTCTCAGACACTCAACATTCCCTTTCACCGATTAACTGATGCAGACACTTCGAGACAACCGGTGTCGTATTTATTTCAACGGGTTATAACTGAGCCCGTTAAACGTAAAGTTTTGCCAAAATTAAAAAACACTTGGAATTTTGAGTCCCGCTTATTCCACGCTCCATTAATTGTTAGATTGAGCTGATGTAAACGAAGATCTGTTTAATTTCATTGTTTGTTCTAAGAATTACTGATTTTTTTGTGCTGGGCGCCGTAGTTTGTTGTAAAACTGTATAACATGACAATAGGCATATATGTAAATAGTCATGTACAACTTATATAACATTTCTTTTTGAAATAATCAAAAGTAAATTACTAACAATGAAGGAAACAAGTGTAAATTGTTTGCATATACTTTGAGACAATAGTTGGATGTATGGCCGGTCAATGTATAACTGATATGATTCATTTTGGTATTTCCTCATTTTGCCTAATAGGTTTCAATATGGATGGAAAATAAGTGTATATGAAAAAATTTAGTTTCAATCAATGCAGTTAATTTTGATCAGTTGCACAGTGGAAGTTCCTTATTTTGGCTTGAGTAGCTCAAGATGCAATTTATTATTAAACTCAGGGAAAGTACCGATTAGCAATTCAATCAAATTTGGGGCTATAAAAACCTAAAGCATGCTGCCCTCCTAGCCATTGTGCCTCCAAGTTTGGTCATAAAATGCAGAAAGCTGTTATTTGTGAATTTAAACAATTAGGACAATTTTTGCACCTTCAGCCTTTTCTCCGATGCATTAAATTCTGAAAAAGAACCAATCTGAACAAATAATCTGATTATGTCAATAAATTTTGATGAAAATTACTGTTGAATTAGGCGATATAATTGTTTACTTGTCTGTGTCAGAAGAAAATCAATCCATTTTACATATATTAAATGCTCTCTTGATTGATAATTTTGGTCATTATTTAGTTTGAGACGATTGCAAAGTAGACCTAATGAATGCTATTGAATGCTATTAAGTTCAGGAGCTTCTAGGAGATTCAAATAAGAATAAAAAGGACATGAGCACAACTAGGCTAATGCCAGATACTGATAAATTTTATATGAAGAAATTGATTTCAGAATCAGGGTCATGTTAACTGCATTAACCATGGGCTGTAAAACAATTCTAGATGTTTCAATATACATAGTGGACTATACACACATGTTTTAATTTGAACTTGTTTTGTCAAATACTCATGTCCACATTAGTAAAAGTGCTCAATAGGTTTAATGAACAGTCATGCTGCAGCTAATCTGTTGGTATTTAGTTGGTAGTGAGTCTGGAGCATCCATAGTTTATCAGGTCTATGTCCTCAAAACAACATTTTTTGTTCCTGTTAGGGACTGTAACCCACTAAAACCCATTGACCTGCCCGAGTTATCAGTCTAAACAAGTAGTAAAACTGGCGACTGATTTTTCCAAATTGTTGTTTCATCTGTAATTTATGTTTAATCCAATAAATCTTGAATTACATACCATCCTGCTACATAATGATAACCCATATTTTAGTTGACATTTTAAACCAAATAGTCCCTGCACAGTTTTTTCTGGTTGCTTATTTTATTATCAGCAGTCAATATTTCAAGCAGTGAAGTTGATTAGAAAGTGGTCTTGTTCGCTTCCTGATTTTCAGAAATAGTTGCCAATACTGTATTCGGTTGGAATATTGAAAGTTTTTACAACAACTTAATCAGAGATTCCAAATAAAGTAGCTTGATCCTTCAAATTAAAAGCAAATAAATGGTTTTTCTGCTCTCTAAAACATTTGTTTTGAAATTTATAGAGACAAATCATCATCTCCAAAATTTTGAATGCAAAATTAATTGCTTACAACAGCTTGAATTTTTTCAAATTTATAGAGAAATTGTTTTTTTCTAGATCATTTATATAATTGTAGTTTTATTCAGGGACGCCATAACAACCAAGGGGCAGGGGGGCAGGTTTGTGTAAAATGACAATTGAAAGATAATTCCCAACTTCTTCTAATTCCTTCTACTAACTGCCATTTTATTTCTATTATCTGTAGGTATCTTGAAAATTGGCTAATTTATTGCATAAGGAATTATCTTACGTTTTGAGGATTGTCTTCATGAATTAAGCACTACAATCAGAATTTTATATGAATCTCTCTGATTATTACAATTGGCCAGTTTCAAGGGCACTTTAATGAAAAAGGCTCTCTGGCCCCTCTTGCCCCTCTTTTCAAAAGGCAACAAGGGCCATTGACCCCCTGCACACCCACTGTCCGGGGTCCCTGGTTTTATTTCATTTTACAAAGTAGATTAATAAGTGATCAAGTTTACTAAGTTACTTTTCTCAGATTGTCTAGATTTAATGACATTTTAAACTTTTTAACCATAGTACCATTTTAAAAATCCTAGCTCGTTTTCTGCTAACCAATTTAACAGCATTGAATCTTTGTTTCGTCTTGTATTTTCTAATTCTCTCTCTCAAGCTAATGTTAACTGATATGTTATCAAATCTGTCCAGTGGGGAGTACCAAGGGTCTAGGAATTTTTTTTAAACCACACCATTTTGTGGGCAGCAGTCTTGTGGTTTACAATATAAAACATTTAGGTAAAAGTGAAATTGCAATTGTTTTGAAGAGAAAGTCCTTGTATGTTGACTGTAAGAGTATAAAACCGTCAGGAAGGATAAAACGAGTAGAGCTGTTAGTATGACGGTGTGGAGTTGGTACTGTGTAAATGTAAATTGTCAGGGCGGTATAATTTGAAATTCTTGTCACCTTTTGGTGTCGGTATCATTTTGTGGGTTGTGACTAGGAAATATAACACCGGGATTCGAAACCTCAGTCACATGGTGTGGATTACGTTTTCTTGGTGTTTGAACTTCGGCCATTTCTAAAAAAATATATCTTTGTTTGAAAATTCTTAAAGAGCCCCTTCCTCTCTCATCTCTAAACTCATATGAATTTTTTGTGGCATGTCCTGCAACGTTACTATTAAAACCTCTTTGAATAATGCGCCAGTGGCATTACAAATGAAGTGGAGTACCCCGGAAGGACTACATATACAATTTTCTACCACCAGAAAAGACGCCTTTACACCAGGTAGAGGCGAGGGGTGTATCACTCTTTCCAAACAGCGTACGAGATTTTTTAACGATAGAATTTTTAAGGATTTTTCGGGGATTTTTCTTGAAAACAAAGGATTTTCGCCAAAGGCGTACGGAAATCTTGTAAAGTGACATGCCTCTTGGATGTAGGAGTCAGATTTGTCCTGACAGCGACTCTTGTTGTCTATGTTCTTGTTGTTGTTGCGGTTTTTTGCTACAGTTTCATGCGAGGGGCAGTTCACTCTTGCAAATAGCTTACGAGATTTTCCCTAAAACAAAAGGATTTCTGGGGATTTTCAGTTAAAACAATAGGATTTTCATGAAAGGTGTACGAGATTTTTTTGGAGTGATTTGCCCCTCGGTTTCATGTCTTGACTGTCGTCTCGTTTTGCTTGTTTGCGTGAAATTTTCAAACGAAAACGAGGTAACAGACTGCCGACAAAGCCTCTTTTAAAGCAGGGATTATTTTCTCTGGAAATCTTTCAAAAACTGTCAATTTGTTTATTGATTATCGTCTCAATTGAGATTTTGAGACGTATATTGAAGTAACGGTTTTGCATAGTATTTAAAAGTATTAGTAAATTAATTGTTTCATTATAAAGAAAATTCGTCCCATATGAATACTCTTTTATGGGTTTTTTTCGAATTTGGTCATTTTAAATAAAGAAAAGATTTGTTATTCTTCTACCTCGAGACATATTCCATTGTCAATGACTCTATAAAGTCTAATTTTGATGCAGGGGGTTGTGTTGTGGTAACCTCCTCGTTCAGAACATTGTAAGTCAACGAGGTTATCAGCTTGTGTCCTCAGGTTTCCGTTGTCTAGTTTTGAATTTGTTTTTGTATGTTTAATTGAAATTCGCTGACATAGGCGTAGATTTTTCGTTTTACTGGAATGGTCAGGGGACGGCTTGCTTTTTTAAAAGTGGAGCAGAATAAATTTTGAAGAAAACAGCTTTCTATGATGATCGAACAGAATTCAATATGTGGTGTATGTTGCAGCCAAATTTTTGTACCGTTCGTTTTCAAAGAGAATGGTATACAATGGTCTATATATGACATATAAACACATCTCTTTGAGAAATAACAAATTATTTTTAAAACCTGTTTATTCTCCCGAACTATTACTTGCGACACTTACAGTGCTCTTAACAAAACAACCTGTTTTCAACTACTTAGCTGTATGTGTCAGCTCTTTTCTTGCACCAACATCCCTGACAGTGAGATGTGTAAGTACTATTTGTGAAAACGAAGCTCGTGGACCTTTCACATCCAGACAAGGCTATGTAGGAAGTAGTTACCCCCGTTTTATGTCTGCGACAACGTCATCGTGCCAAATGTTGACGGTAGTCAGTCGTATGGTTTAAAGTTGAGCGAAACGAGGAGTCTGACGAATCTATTTGTATGTTATCGTTTTTTACGGGCTCGATATGTGCAGCAAAGCTGTTTTTCAGCATAAATTTCGTTGCGATTACGGAAGCACGGACAAAAAAAGTTCTTCAAAGAAAAAGGTTTGTGTTGGTTGGTGCTTTAGATGAGATGAGTTAATGCGCAGTTTGTAGGCATATGTTTCTGATCAGTTTGTTTTGCTTACTACAACTTTCTTGTTTATTTGTTGTTTATTGTATCTAGAACGTTTCATATCAATGTAATATGATCTTCTTCCACACTATTTTTACGCTAACTTGGTATGTTGGTTTACGTCACAGGACTAAATTTGATTCGATCCGGCAAAATCTTATGGGTATTTCCGTTTATCTGTTTTTTTATAAATTGTAGGTTTGTTCAGTTCAATTTATGTATATTTCAAAATTCCACTACTTACAATGAATTAATTGTCCTATATTAACAAAACAGACTACATACACTTTGTGTATCTATTAAATACTTTTGATACTTTTTCTTGTTGTTTTTACTAGATTTTAACTCAAAAGAAGGGAAAGTAATCTAAAAAAGCTTTTCTTGTATTGAGTGAAACGTTTTGTGTTTATGTTACACGAAGGACACTCAACGATTGTGGAAAAAAGAATAAAATTATAGACCCGTTACTCGTTCGCTGTCAGCTATTGTCGCACACTGTGAAATTTGCTGAGGATCTTTAAGTTTTTATATTTGTTTTTGAATCAAAGACCTAGTTCCAAAGCATGTATAAAGTATCGCCAGATCTCCCCCACTTTGTATAGCAAGATGCTGAATTTCATGTATAGAGCGTAGATAGTTAGCCTATTTTAAGAGAAGCTCTGATTGCCACCAAAAGGAAAATAGTATTTAGGAATTGACATCTGCCTCTCAGACATGATCGATCCATTTTTTCGGATATTATCGAATTTTGGACCATCTATATCATATGAATTAATGTTTTTCCCAGGATTGTTTTGTTAACATCAATAATTTTGAAATAAAGCCATTAATATTTAAATTCAATTATTTTTTCTGAGTTATTATGCTTCAATATATGCTTCAATCTATGCTCTTAGATTAAATTCTAATTAATATTTTGTTTTATTATTTTCAATGTTTCATATTTTCGTTATTGGCAATTGTTAGCGGTGAATCCATGCGGTCATTTTTGTTTATCACTCATAAGAAACGAAAGCAAAAGCACTGCTGCCATGGTCCACTGATTGAGTCTGCAACGGTTTTCCTTCATATGTCGCCAGTGACAGCCTCAAGCTGGCTGCAAACAGGTCTAAAATAAAATAGTTTTATGGTCGAAATCTTCGTCACTTTTTTCTTACTGAATTGAGCCGTGTACCTGAGCTAATAAGATCAATTTTGTCAGCTCTCGGTTAAATGTGTGAAATATTGAATCTTCCAAAACGTAAAACTGGATTTCGGTTTGTTTACACACAGGCATGCTAAAGAAATGATACCTCATTTTTTAAGAAACTGTTGAAAAAAGAAGTCATTATTAAATTCTGGTCAAACATTTTTCATTTTTCTTTTTCAATATAGTCTTAAACCTCTTTATTTTAATCCTTTTTTCCACAAGATAAAATTATCATGTATATCAGAAATTTTCTTGCCTTAAATTGACATCAGTTTTATCTTGTTTGCAGGGAATGCCAGAGCAATGGGCAAAGTTGCTACAGATTTCCAACATCACTCCTACAGAACAGAAGAAGAACCCCCAGGTAAATTTTCTATTGACAGCTCATCCCTTAGGTACCCCTCTAAATTCACTCTGCTATGGGAAATGGATCCTTGTAATAGGTACTCTTAACGGCGTATTCCTGTTGTGGGGTGTTTTATTTTATTGGATGCAAAAATCGGTTTGTGATCTCTTCCACAATGAGGGCTACGAGCAATGACTCTCAGTTTATATTTCTGACCCTAGTTAAATTGTGTTTAGGTGATTAACCTTATTCTTGTAAAATCACGTGGCTCTATCCTACAGATTATTTAGAAAGCGTGTATCTTTTAGAGTAGTATTCGCTGCGAAGCTATTTTATGCAAAGCTAAAAGAAATGTCTGAAGCAACTATTGTTTTACTTTAAACGTTGGGGCTTCCCAAAAATCTACGTTATAGTTGTTCTGTCTACTAAAAACGGTACAATACGCTTCGAAAAAGTTAATTCGTTCCAACTATCGCACAATAATTTTTGATTGACTGACGTACTATAAACACCCCTCCAGCAAAGATGAGGGTTTTTCTTTGCTTAGACAATATCGAACCCCATGATGTTTAGCTTAGGCCTTTGGCAACTATCGGAAGTGCCCATGTGTTTTTATTTCTCTTTTTTACAGGCTGTAATTGACGTCTTGAACTTCTTTGATTCATCAACAAACAAAGCAACAACCGAAGAAACAAAATTCATGACAGTTAACAAGCCTGGTTAGCTATTTTTTCCGTTTTTCTATTTCGTTTTGCATCTGTTTAGAAAGATTGTACTTGTGGATTGTCCTGAAATGTAAAAAGTGGGTATGGTGGGCTTTCGGGGGCATTGGAAGGCTATGGGTGTTTGGGGGATTGCAGGGTTGGGGCATTCACCCTCTAGCACTCACCCTTTAATTCCTCAAACCGCTTCTAGCCTTCCTTTCCCCATAGAGAGACAGTATTAATATGGTACAGTCTTAAGGTAGGGGGCCAAGGGATTGTCGGGGAATACTTCTAAAGAATATAGATAGATAGACTTCATTGGCTGTTAGTTTTCACTATTAAGTTATAATACTAGCTGTTTTTGATGACCTTGTCATAGGTGGCCCGATGTGCGAGAAAAACTGAATTTTAACGTGAATCCTGGAGCTTTTCAAAGTTTTGTAAAGATAGGTCAACAATACCTCCGGTTTTTGTTATTAACTTTAAAGAATTGTTTAAGTAACCATTTATTTTAGATTTGAATCGGAATATCAATTTTTGATGGAACGGGCAAAAACAGGAAGCCGCTATGTCATGCTGCCAAAGATTTTGACTCAGAATGTAGTTGTGTCGGGGAGCCATTTGTTTACATCAATAAAACAAAACAGTATTCGATCGTGCCAAACTCTTGTCTCACAAACAATTTGCTTCTTAAATTATTTTTCCAAGCTTTTAAGATCAGAACTTATTGTTGCACAAAATCCACAACAGTGCATTTCCTTTCTTATTTTCACGACGTCTTCCTGCGAACATTGCTTGTTTGCTTCTAGACGTTACGGTTTAATCCGTTCTTTGTCATTTTTGTTGTTTTACAGCCATGCTGATGTTGTCCTGTAGCCATGGCAGAATTACTGGAATAGAGATAAAAAACAGAGAATACATGTAATATAACTTTTTTTCAGGTACTGATCTTATTGGTGTACAATACTCTGCTGAAGCAAAAAATAGATATTATGAAAAAGCAGATATACCTGGAGCTGTAAGTACACAAGGGAGATAATGTCATTATGTTTAATTCTTTTCACTGTTTAGACATTCATGTAGCCATCATTACGGAGGAATCTAGTAGCATTAAGAGCAGTATGGGAATTAGTCTGATTCATGTGATATCTGTTTCCGAACAAAAAGTATGAATGGTGTAATTCTTCGTATTTAATAAGCTGCTAAGGTCATTTTGCTGCTCCTCAGATTTTGCTGGACTTTTTTCCAATTGAGGAGTTGTTCAGATAATTAAAGCAAGAAGACCATCACACTTTTCAGGAACCTTAAGTTGACAGATCCCAATATGTCATTGGCTAGCTTTGTATAATGACATACATATATCAGGTTGATGCTTGAAATAAAGAACTCCTAATGCTGTTAGTATGCCTGTTTCTAAAAGCAGCTATTTCTCGTTTTTGTTGTACAGAAGCCACATAACCATGCAGTCGATGACTCGAGTAAGGATGTTCCACCGGCGGTGCCCTCACGGCCTGAACACACCAAATCTAGGGTGAGTTTCACGACAATGCATATGTTATTATCATGTACAGAAAGTAAGCTATAGGTGAAATATATAAAATATATTAACACTTTGTAGTTAACTACTAATTATTCTATGAATGTAGTAATTACTTATTAATTTTGGACGTCTGCTGAAAAGTCCAACAAGGTCAAATTTATGTAATAAGCAAAAAACAATTTTTCCAGGCAATCTAAATCTAAAAACCAAAAATGAAAAATTTGGCCTAAAAAGCCGATCTGGCAACCCTGGACCAAATCTGTGAATTATATCATCCAGTCTTCCTGTTTCGTGATGACGAGCACTTTCATTTCAAATCTGTTTTCAAGGCGCTTGTTTTATCGTCGATATTGTTTAGTTCTGGAAAATCCTTTTTTAATCACTGTATGAAGGGAGTCTGACTTGAATTTCCAAATTCTCTTAGTTATGATTAAAGTTTTGGAAAATCCGGCAACTGGCCGGATTTCGGAAACAAATCCGGCCGGAACCGGATTTTCAAAAAATCAGCGATCCGGCGCCGGATTATCCGGCCTACCGGATATCCGGTACATCCCTAATATGCAGCTATGCTTTATTGCGGGGGTGTCCAACATTCGCCCCGTGGGCCAGATGTGACCTGCGAGGGCATATTATGTGACCCTTGCTAAGTCAAGAATTTTTTATAATAATTTAGTCCATATGTCTATGGAGTGCCATTCCCGTTGAAATTTTGATGATTCATCATTAGGCACACTTTCCCATTACTATAAGCTGACGTTTCTATTACGAAGCTGAACATAACAAGTCAAAGCTACAATCTAAGTATACAGAGAAAAATCTACGTGACTTTTATCGCACGTTTAATGTGCGATGTGAATAGTTTTTCTGCAAACAAGAAATGCAACATTTCACATTGATAACCTTTTTATGTAACTGTTTGTGTAACTTTTCGTGTAATTTTTCATGTAACTGTAATTATTAATCCATTCATTGTTCAATACAAGTTTTGCGATGATTTACGTAAGTTTTCATCTGGCCCGCCTGTGTAGTAAGATTTTCTTTATTGCCCAGCCAAAAATAAGTTGGACACCCCTGCTTTATTGTCTTCTTTTATGTTTAACTTTGATGGATTCTGATAATATTTATAAATGCTCCACATTTTCTTAAAGAATGCCAACCTTTCTTGCTACTATCTCACAAACAAACAACTTACGTAAGGCCTAATAAGCTCCTTGATTCGTTTTTCATTAAGTATATTACCGCTGAGCAAATCGCCGGATCGCAAGGGAAGTCCTTTCCGCAACAACAGCAACAAGAAAATGAAGGTGAGGTTTCGAGCTCCGGTTTAATCAGCGTTACGTTGAGCAGGCTTGAACATCTTTTAAAGGTCAATTTCACGACTAAACCACATTATTCTTCAATCACAATAGGATTTTCTTTTGGTTTTTTGGTGTTAGAGCATGGTGCTCTTTTTAGTGACCCAAGCTACTCTTTCCTAAAGCTTCGTATAGTTGCTAATTTCTCATTCGCTTTGATTACTGTTGGACTCATTTGTCTGTTGCTAGAAAGATTTGTGCAAAAAGACCAGATGTAAAAGTCTAGATCTTTTAATCTTGCAAGATTTTTGTCAAGCAATATGTTAACATTTGTCCTGCTAAAAGTCTGTTTTTTATCATTTTGAAATGCTACAGCACATTGGTATATTAGAGATTATCTATCTCAGAACCATTTTGTATCGTAAATTGCTTATACAACTTGAAGTCTAAGTAAGTGCCCACGGCGTTAAGGTTATCCCGCAATGTTTCTTAATGCATTTGGCAGTTTTCCAGATGATTTAAGAAGATGCATCGAAAATTGCCCCATGAGTCACAAGATTGATATTTTAAAAGAAACATACTTGGACATCTTAAACGAGGCTGTAATCACCAGAATTGCTGCAGCCTTCGTGCTGTCAATTTAGGCCCAGCTGACTATTTCATCTTTCGTACTTTCATGGGCCTATCTCTATTTAGCCAAGCAAAACCAACAACAAATCAGGAAGAGGAAAATGACAGACGAGGAGATAATGGCAAAACTTCGTAAGTATCGCTCTTTCGAACTTCGTAAGTACGTTTATTGTAGAATATATGATAAGTTGAAGTGGATCTAATCTTTGTGGCCTTTAATGTCCCTTTGCTTGCTATTGAGGCATGTGTCATAGACAGCTTGTATATTGATTCCAGTGCCACCAACACTCACCATCGAAAGTATTAAACTATTCAACTTTATTAGTGACGGATGCTCAGTTTCTCTTTGTTTTTTCGTTCTGTCAATTTCGTTTTAAGTTTCAAGACTGAACAGTCTTCAAGGTGTTATTTGTATTCATACATATGCTGTGTCATATGTAACGATGTCCTGAATCTAATTCAAAGGAACGATAGTCAGTATTGGTGATCCCAAAAAGAAGTATACAAAGTTCGAAAAAATAGGACAAGGGTGAGTTTTCTTTTTTGGCTCTCTGTATTCGTAGTTTTCACTGTTTCGATAGATTAATTTGGCTTCCAGTTTCCATGTCCTTAGTAGCCACTTCTCATAATCTTTCCATATTCCTTGACAACAAAAGGGATTCTGTCTGTCAACTTTTCAAATTTCGTTTTATAAGCCAGTGGTCAAATGGTAAGAGTTCTTAGTTGCAGTGTTGAAGTTTTTGGTACGAATCAAAGCTTATGATATAGACCCATGTCCCTCTTTCCAACCAGCAGCGAATGGGTACCAATTTTTAACTTTGGCGGGTTAAAGCAAGCACAAGGAACTGGCCATCCTGCCTCATTATATTGTTGGCCTAGAATAGGTGCCCTTTCCAACAAACAGCTTCTCTTCATTTGGGATCGGATATTGGGCGAACCTTTACCACTCAGTCATCTATTTACAGGGTATCTTTTAACGCCTTTCATATATCTCTTTTTGAGCTTTTAGTGCAACGTAAGTTACTTGGTTTTACAAGAACTTTTCTTTTTCAACAGTGCTTCTGGAACAGTTTATACGGCAATAGAAATAGCCACTGGTCATGAGGTAAGATAGCAAGAAGACTTTTAATTATCCAAGACTCATAGCTAGCAGAAAAATTTCCTTGCACTTAACTTCACATGATGAACCTCTTGTGTGAGTTTGAAATATGGAAAAGAGGCTACAATTTGTATACAAAGTAGCCCGACGAAGTAGCCCGACGCTGTAGTGATGTCAATGATTGTTTATTATGGGCACGACAAAACTGTTTCGTTCCTAACGGTAGTGAATTTTTCAGGTGGAATCAGGACCTCTTTGCCTGGTCATATAGAGATTTATAGCGCCAGTATAACATTATGCATGACAATATGCTCATGTTATTGGTGGAAAACTTGCGATTTTTTGTTTAAAATGTATTCTGCATTTAAAGTCTAAGCGATATGCTACTCTCTGCCCAGGTTGCAATCAAGCAGATGAATTTGTCACAGCAACCTAAAAAAGTGAGTTACTGAAGCTTTTTCACTGTAAAAAATGAAACTGTTGCGTTGGTATGGGATGTTAAGGCGAATATTCTTGTGTGTGAAGCTGCTTTCCTTTAGTAACGAATTTTATGTTATAAATCGAATTTTCATAGAAAAAGTCTTAACGGGAGGACCTGGCTTTGAATACGATATTGGACGTTGTTGCAAAGTCAAAGATCGTGGGAATGTTGGAAAATGGAACGTGATAGTTTGCAAAACCGGGGGGTTTAACCCCTGGAAAGCTGACCTATTTTAATCACGTGAACAGAAGCAATTGCGAACAACGACCTTTGATTTTCTTTTTTTTAGGGGGTTACCATTGAACTATAATGTAATGCTTAAAACAGAATTATTGCTTGTAGTAAGTTTTTTCTTTTTAAAACTTTTTTATATTTCACATCATTTTGTCTACAGGAATTAATTATTAATGAAATTTTGGTTATGAGAGAAAACAAGCATCCGAACATTGTTAACTATGTTGACAGCTACCTGGTAGGCGAGGAGCTTTGGGTAAGAAATATAATTCTTATTTGTTCATTGTTGTTATCACCCTGCATCTAAATATATTTATGTTTTCCATTTTTAATGTAAACAGAAAAGCGATAAGCTTGTGTTTTGTCAATGGTATCTCTTCTTTCATATTGTATTATAAGCTTCATCGTCATTTGTTTTCTCAAACTGCTTGAAACCTTCTGCACCTGCTTTCGACTAAATCAGTTTAATCTTGACAATCTACTGGTAGTATGAAAGGGCAAAGATGTTTAGAGAATGAGGATCTTTGAAAAATGTGTAATCTCGGTCGGTTTTTGAAAGGGTATAGAAAGGAGATTTAAAATTCTTAAAACTCTCCGTTTCATTGAGATAAATATTTTATTGTTGAATTTTCGATTCTGTAATATTCAGGTTGTTATGGAGTACCTTGCTGGTGGTTCTTTGACCGACGTTGTCACAGAAACATGTATGGACGAAGGACAGATTTCTGCTGTTTGCAGAGAGGTTAGTTCGCCAAATTTTTGCCTAAATCTTCCGAAAGAGCTTGCGAAAAATTGATTAGGTTTGAAGCTTTCTGCTCACTTTTTCACCATACTTATGTTTTTGATTGGCGGAAACGTGCACCTTGAAAACTGAGCGAATATTTATGCATCTCAGCTTCTTCTCTCCACTGTATGCCCATTATTCTTTCAGCAAAAATACAATTGCCTTCAAGCTCAAGTGCGAAATTTTTTCCAAATTTGATCTTTCTCCGTCCCCCGCTTATCAAACAATGCTTTCATTCGAGCCAGTGAAAAAGGTCCATTTTATAGCAGTTATCCAGTTCATCTTTGTAAAAAAAATTATTGCAGTCATTGTTGCCTCCATTCCAGCTGCATATCAGGAATTAAACCTTTTCGTTACAGTCACAGTTTTCATGTCTTATTTTCACGTTAATTTTGGTCCGTATTTTAGTGCCTTCAAGCTCTGGAATTCTTACATGGCAACGGAGTTATCCACAGGGATATCAAGAGTGACAACATTTTACTCGGAATGGAAGGAAGCGTCAAACTCAGTGAGCTTTTTGCCATATATTTATTTCATTTGTTCGAAAATAATTTTGAAAATACCTTATAAGATGTTTTTTGGGGGATGGAGTGTGAATTTGAACCTTCAGTTCTTAGTCATTGTAGTTTCACGTGATATTTTCAGCGCTGTGGCAATAAATTCCAATTAGCACAAAAGTGTGATGGCACCATGAGAGTATGGTTGATCCATATTGTAGCTGATGATCTTTGTTTTTCTAGCTGATTTTGGCTTCTGTGCTACCATTACCCCTGAACAGAACAAACGGACAACAATGGTTGGCACACCTTACTGGATGGCACCCGAGGTTGTCACGAGAAAGCAATATGGACCTAAAGTTGACATTTGGAGTTTGGGTATCATGGCGATTGAAATGATTGAGGGGGAGCCACCCTATTTGAATGAAAATCCACTGAGGGTTGGTTTTTTTTGTTATCATGTTGTCAGTTAATGTCTCGGCGATTGTCTATTATGCAGGATCCTCCATATTTCCTTGAATTGAATTACTATTTGAACAGTAGAGGATTAACTAGCATTATTTCTTAATTCCTATGCAGAAAATGTAAACAGATTGACACTAACTATGTTCATTGATTCTAGGCCTTGTATCTGATTGCGACAAATGGCACACCAGAGCTCCAACACCCAGAGAGACTGTCGCCTGTTTTTAGGGACTTTCTACAACACACTCTAGAAATGGATGTCGATAAAAGACCCACAGCCAGAGGCTTGCTAAATGTATGTTTGTTTTTCTAGTAAACCTTCTTTGTTGTTCTGCCTTAAAGCATTTGGTGAATTTGGTATCAAAAGTTTTATGGCGAGTCATGGTTTCTGAAAAAGTCATTATTTGTATTGCCATGCCTCAGAACATTCTAGTTTTGACTGTAATGTTGTCAAACTGAAACTGAAAATCTTTAGTCAGTTTGGGAAATGGGCTCTTCCCCAAATGGAAAGTTGAAGGATTGGAATCCTGTCATGTAACTAAAGTATGTTTCTGGCCCACACTGTTGCAAATGGGAGTTGTGCTGTCCCTTATTGCTGTCCCTTATTGCTGTCCCTCCGTACTGCTAGTAGGTGCAACATTTTGCTGTCCAATTTTAGGGCTCAAGCCTTCGGTAGTTTCTTGTCAAAGTATTCTCTTTGTGTATTTAATTCTGCCATTTACTGTTGGTTTTCAACTATTTTCTCCTTTCCATAGCATCCATTCTTGAAACAAGCGAAGCCACTGGCAAGCCTCCAGCCCCTGATATTAGCAGCAAAGGAGGCGGCTGCACGTCACGGATAATTAAAAGTTGTATAAATATTTTAGAATAAATTTGCATAATTGGTATATTTCAACCAAAGAAAGAAGAATTACTCTGTAATCAAATGTGTATGAAATCAAGACAGACGAAATTATGACCAATCTTAGACAAAATTTTGGTTTTAATTGACAGGTGTCGCAAATATCAGCTGGTCATGTAGCAAAATATTGTGCGCATTTCCTAACGGTAGCCATCTTTTCAATGTAAAACAATGCGATTAGCCGTTTGTATGCGAGTCGTAGTGAACTGAACCATTTCAGTCTTAGATTGCCCTGGGTGAACCGACCCCAACGAATCCATTAGATTTAGTTGGTTTGTATTTTACGTGGATTGGTAGCTATCGACTTCTCTGTATCAAAGATTTCAAACCTAGGCCAAACTAGAAACATAAAGCTAGCACCTACTGAGACAGTGATATCCACTCAACATATCCCACCGACATATTTGTAACAATAATACTTAATAAACATTCGCTAAACGTAGATGTCTATTATAAATCTTGTGTATGTGGCTGTCGGTTTTGTATCAATCTTTCCCTTACAAAATAGATTTGAATATGTTTTTCCGCTTTTCTATCATCATTTTCCCCGCATTCATCATTACACCTATTCAATCACTGTTGTAAACAGTTTGTTGTTGACAAATCTCTTATCAATATCGCAATGTGAATCGCTTCATCAGCGTAACATTATTTTGATTATTTTGAACTTTTTAATGGTCTATTTTTTCATTCTGTTTCCTCATATATGTAGATCTTCTCTAACCAGGACTCGCCTGTGTATCCATTATGTGTAGGATTTACATAATATTTTTTTACACTTGAGCGGTAATTACTTGACGCCCTTCACGATGCATATGTTTAACAGAGAATTGTACGCAGAAAATAAGTAGTCCAAACATGTACTGTCTGTGTTAAACGTTTCTTAAAAATAGGGCGCGAAAAATAGCGGATAGATGTAACTTGAACCAACGTCTTTTTATAGCACAGTTGTGACAGGTAGCAGAAAGGCTATTTCGAAAGGTATAAAAACATGCTGATATTTTATATATTCACGGCATCTCCTCAACAAATTGTACATGGTTGTAGGTACGTTGGTACATTGAGAAGCAAATTTTTTCATTAAACAATGTAACCCCTCTCGAATTTTCTTTCCTTTACCCCTTGCCCTGCGTCTTTCCACCTTTAAATAATACCCCCTATGTTGACATTTAACCCCCTTTAGTTTTATTTCTATTGACAGTCAGAGTATCCTTCTTTGTTTTAATTTTACTATGAACTATCTACTTCGATCGATTGCTAAAATTTATCGTAAGATATGTTTTATTGAATGTGACTTCATGTGGTTGTTTTGATATAATCTAGACCGTAGGCATATCTATACTTGTTATTTTTTATGTCGCACCTGCAGTTGTGGATAGCGTTGGACAGTGAGAAAAATCATTCTACATTACATGGGCGGCGCCTAGAAATTCAAAGTGGGGGAGGGAGGGCTCGAGTTGATGGCATTATTTGACTGAAAAGCAACTCTTGAAAAACGCACTAGGATGCTTCACTGTGTGTTATGCCTTTGATTTTATGCGAAGCGAGCGGGAAATATTTGCGGCCACGCCCTTAAGATTAGCTTAAAAAACATGTCAGAATATTTCTTGCAGTCATTTTCTTGCAGTCTGTTCTCAGTAAGTCTTGAAATGATTTTTAGTGTCAAATATCTGCAGATATATTGAACCGCAAAAACCTTTTTTAAGACTATAAGCTTTTCCCTGAAATTTTAAACAGAATTGAAAACAGAGACATTTTATACCTTAACATGCCGAAAACAGTATTTAAATGGAGATGGTTTAGTTAACGTTATGCTCAAGTCAACTTTTTCTAGCCCTATCAGATGCTAAATGAAGACATCTTTTCATGAAAAAGGATGCACATTAGCCTCTGAAGCAAGCTTTTGCTTGCATGATAAGGAGCAAGGGTCTTTACAAATTCCGAAAGAAAACAACCAAGGGGGCTTTATTTTGGGCCCAGAATAGAGGCCAGGCATTGAGATTGCGAGGAGAAATATTTGTAGATTGGAACAATACATTTTCATAATATTAAAATGATGCAAATAAGATAAAAAATCAATTCATCAATGCTCGCTCAAACTAACAAGGGTGTGAGTTTCTTCAGGACGAATTTCTTTAAAAAAGTTCATAGTTTGGAGGTTGTCTTAACATGTTTGACTTTTTGAAGTGACTAGCCACGTGGTGCCAGCCAAGACCCTCTGCAAGCTAAAAAAAGAAAACAACAAACAATTGTACAGATTTATCAACAAACAAAAATGAATGGAAAATGTACCACATTTGCAGGGGGAAACCTTGCTGTTATCTACAGCACGATCTAATGTACCTCATTACAGCATTTTTACTTCAAATGGATCATAGAGGAAACGATAAGATGACAGGAAATCAAGTACGAAAATATTAGATAGATTTGCCCTTGTAAAAAGGCCTCAGTCAACAACAGTTGGTTAAAATCTTACTTGTACTGACAGCTCATCGTATTTAGGAGATGCTGACTGGTCTTCTTGGAGCTTCAAAACAGCTTTAAGCGCACGTCCGTAATGCTTACGAGCAGTTGCATGACGTACAAAAAAGGCCAGCGTCTGTGAACGAATAAACTGAAGTCTAAGAGAGTAACTATGGGACTGGGAGTAGTGCAACGACTGGAAGGGACATGTAATTGCTAGAATCCATCAATCGAAAAGGTCTTAATAAGCAACCACTGGAGTTAAAAGGAATACTGGTTGCATAACTTCCGCAGTGTTTGCTTCAGTTAGACAAGACATTCAAATACAAAAGCCAGTTTCCCTGATTTTAGATTTTACTACTACTGCTCAGTAAATATTGCTCAGAAAGCAGTAGCAAACAGCACTATAAGGCAGTCATTAAGATATTAAGAACAATAAAGATTGCAAGATTCACCTTCGAATCTGTTGGGTCAGTCCATTTAGAAAATTCTTGGAAGGTTTCGTCAAGTCCTAAAAGATATGAGGCAATAAAGAGGCTGTTCAATTAGAGATGATTAGATGTCACAGTTTTTGATTAAAAGTTTTTATAAAATGAGTATGGAGAAATCGCATGAAATTAAAAAAGCTGAAACTTGAAATTCGATAGGCCTGGAGTCATGTGCACATGGGCGGTGGGCCTAAACTTACCAACCTCGAATGGTTGCTTCAGCAATTACATACACGAACAGCTCTCTTTGCCTACTGACATGATCATCCTTTGATTCGAAGCCTCAAATGCTAAAATAATTGTTCTCGTTGCTTCCCCACCTTTGTTCTCGTTGCATACGATCCAGCAGTTCCTGTGGCACACCATATTTTAAACAATTTCCTACGACAGTGTTTTTCAATGCTCCTAAACCCCGAAGACACCATCGCAATTAAAATGAAATAACACTGATGAGAGCGTTTCATTAGGTCTTTTTGCTCCACAGTATTTCATTCTTGTCCTTTTTAATACATTATCATAATTCTTCACTCCATTTGCATATATTATCGGCTCTTTCCCAGTGAAGTCTTCACATAAATAGAACAAAATGCACCACACTGGACGGAAAGGACTATAAAAAACTTTTACCTGTATCAATCGTCGGCATCATTGGCTCTGCACTCTCTGAGATCAACACAGAGACATCACCTGAAATCACGAAAAGTATTATAATACCTACAGTGCTTGCCAAAAAGTCTTGGTACACTAACGTAAATTTTCAAGGCCAAATTCAGCCATTCCCCTTCCCCTCTTGAACAATGTTGGTTTACTACAAAACAAAGTATGGGATAGGGAAGAACGCTTTTTTCTGAGACTTCTATTATATTTTTCTAAATTATTCAGCATCGTTTTGGGGAAAAGGGGGTGCGGAAATAGTGTAGTAGGATATATACTTTGTTTATCACTCTATTGTTGTAACTGCACATGCGCACTGTAAATAGTATAAAAAGCCTTGTTATTGTAATTAAAGAGAGATATTGAGTTGTTGTTGAATGATAATCTTGTAATGATGTTTGTGTGTTAATAATATGGAGAAAAATACAAAGTCGTGTTTTCCTTGGTGTGAAACTGAATGAAACATAAAGCTCTACCATAATAGTAGTATCCGGGAAAAGAATTGAAAAATATAAAAACACAACGCAAATTGCTGGGTGTTCCAAATACTTTTGGGAATGATTGTAGTAGGATGACAATGAGTATCAAAGTACTTGCTTTACCTATCCGCTAACAGTACTAAAAGCCAAATAAAAAAACTTATCCTCGTTTTAGCTCCAAACAAGACGCTGATAAGCTTAGTGTCGACCCTAACGCGATCACAAGTAAAGTATGCTCTGCTCAAACAAAACTCGTCTTCCTACGAAATATACTATTCTAAAACTTTTCTATTGAATAATATGTATTAACTAATTAAACAAGTCTAGCTAATTTATCGTCTAGCAAAGCACCCATACCTGGCAACAGAGTACAGACCTCAAAAGGTATTGACTCACACACCTTCAAATGCGGTCTATCCAGAATAGCAATATACGCTTGGAATAAGTGTTATTAAGCCCTACATGAGCTTGAATTTAAAAGTAAAACTAAAGATTACCTGCAGTTCTGTCAGATGTTATCATCATGTCAGCCATTGCAGTCCCCTGAAATCCATGAAAACAAATAATATATTTGGAATCAAATTTATCAATATAATTATATATTAATATAATTTATCAATATATGAAGGTGTGTGGTTTAAAATCGTCGAAAATGGAAAAAACCTAAATTAAAAATTCCATGCAATATAAAATACGTTGAGACAAAAACTACGAAATTTAAAAGGATAAAAAATTGGTTTCATAAGAGGTGTCGATAGCCCTTTGAAAATATTTTCACGTGAGGGTAGGCACTACCTTAGATATGCATCAATTGACCAGTTAAAGATTCACAAAACCCCCGACTTAACGTTCTTCAAAAGAATTTATCACAATAATAAATCGCACGAAGTACTTACATAGAGAGAGGAGTCAATGCAAGATACATGTAGTATATTATAAAGTACAGATTACATGCATAGCTAAGTTTATTTGGGAGTTGTAATGAAGTACCTTAAACGTATAATTTTAAGTGCAGTTATCCTGCGCTTACCTTCTTCAAAAGGGCATTGGTAAGGACATTTCTTTTCTTGTCCATTTCCCTGCAGAGAAGAAAAAACGAGTAGAATGTATTTCAGCGCCCAAATATCACCGAGTTTTCCGCCAACGTACGAACGAAAAAATTGCTTCTTTTCTTTAAGTGGTATGATAATTCTTATTTAAAACAGAATAAAACGTCAAAATTATACTTTTTGAAACCTGTTACACAAAGCGGGTGACAGAAGTCATCAGTGGAATCAAGATCACTAGCCCTGACTTTGTTTAATGAAATCAAGTTAACTTGGACACAGGGGCAATAGCAGTCATGATTTAGGATAGAAGAGGTAAATATATACACATACACTTTAGTTTTGGCAGCATCGTCACTCAGATCTGTTTTCATAGCATAGTAAGTTGCCAATTCGTTGCGGTCAATCTGAAATCATATTTAGAGAAGACATGTTACATAGAGTACTTAAGAAGAGTGATTCATTTCTAGGGAACTATGGGTATTTAATAGACATGCAGATACAAAATTATATCTACGATATAAAAATACGGTATAAAACTTGCTCTCTACAATTTCAATCCAACTTCCATTCAGTCTTATACGGCTCCAATTACTAAGTACATCGGGCTCCCTTCAGATTACATCAAATAGAATGAATCCGCGGAAAGGGGACACACATGCTCATACGCAGGTTAAATTGACTATTCACATTAAGGTGTCAGAACGACGTAAAGAAAAAGAGATGGAAAACATACCATTCCTATGATTCTATCTGAAACTTTGATTATTTCTTCCAATTTTTCTTTACCCTGCAAGAAAAATATTCTGAATGAAAAATCTGAAAGGAACTGTAGAGGAGGAAACTGGTTGTGGATTGGTGGGCATCCACATTTCCAGGATTGTCAAATAACAACGAGTAGCAAGTTTTCAGGGACAATATGACAGCATGGCAGCACCAAAATGTTCCTTTGATTGATGATATATAGGCCCATACTGGAATATAGAAAGATTCCCATACTGGAATATGGAAACACTTATCAGGAATACCTGACACGTGATGGCTTGGTAGACAGCTTGGAGCCTCGACCCTTAGCTCAATGTGATTTAAACTTGTGATTCTTCAAAGTATAGCTATTACAAATGAGAATCAATGTTACTAAGATACTCACTTTTGTCGAATCTATAGAATTCAAGTATGCATTATGAGCATGGATGTTGTCTTGCAATTTGTCATACAGCTCTATCTGTTTCTGGTGACCGTCAAGCCTTCAAAACAAAACAGATTTGATGATGACGTTAATATTTAAAAAATGGGATTTGTTACTATATAAGACACTTCAAGCTACTTAATGTGACGCTTAATGTGCACAACAACTGGCTTAGGCCAAGGAAATGAAGTTGCTTCATTAGAAGAAGAAAACATCCCGTTGCTCTGTGTGAATGACGACGAAATAAAAGATCTTGCAACACAGTAGTAACTCTAAAAGTGTCTGGGAAATTTCAATGATTTTACTTATAACCTATCCGGTATTTCTATTCAATGTTCCTTCACATAAAGAGGACCTTAGGCCTGGTTCAAACGTCGCACTTCTCATGTGCCGAACCTAACTCTGTTTGGAGCGACACTTGAGCATGTTTAGCGCGACTCCCGTTTCAAACGTCGAACTTAATCATGTTGCGCCAAATGGGTTTTAGGGTTGTTACATAAAGTATCTTGGTTAAGGCGCACAATCTCAAATATTTGTTTGAAACGCATGCGCCCTCCAAAAAAGAAATGAATTCTGTGAAGGAAAATAAATTAAATATAATTATGCATTGAGTTCGGTACATGACAAGTTCGACGCTTGAAACCGTGCCGTGCTGGAGCCGTGCAGCTCGGCAAGCTCTGCCGACCAAAACTAAATCTGCCGTACCAAATTGATTCAAACGTCGCGCCCCTCATGTACTTAATTCTCGAGTTAGGTTCGGCACATGAGAAGCGCGACGTTTGAACCAGGCCTTACATGGCATGCTGCCACCCTGGATGTCCCAGATAATACTAGTCCCTTGAACTTTGCCAACCGCCAATATTGCCAATAATTGCCATTATGACCACTGTTTCACGGGTTAACAGGAGAAAGTATTTTGTTGAGTGAGGCAACCCTTCGTTCAATCGTCAAAGAGCATGCGCATGGAACGAAATCTTTATTGCGCATGCACTAAGACAACATTACGGAGGGTTGCTTCACGCATTCGCTCATTCGTCTTTCAAACATTTACATGGCTAACTTCAGTGAAATTTCTTGCTTAATTCTCCTGAGAAATTTTGACCCCCTACTGCATACATAGTTTATAACCCCCCTACTGCAGCGGAAAACTACCAAAATTTGGTTAGATGCCACGAAGTAAGTGACATAGCCTTAACCGTATATGTGTTGTTAAAGGACCTGAGTCCTTTCTCGTCCTTATCGAGGGAGATGCTAACCTTCTCTCGGCTCATACAACACAACGGGAACCTGTATTCGAACAAAGTATAAAAGATATTTTTAGTTGCAGGGTATAGCTTTTGGGTAGTAAAATTTGCGCATGCGCAACAATAATTTAATTCGACTTGCTGACAGCATGATCATGTCTCTTTTTTGATGAAATTTGAGGACTTTAATTCTAATTAGTATTTCAGGCCATTATTTCTAAAAGGTTAGAATAAACTAACTTTGGAATCCAGGCAACCATAAGATCTTGCATTGCATCTTCATAACCCTTCAATACCTGAAAGAACAGCATTGAACAAATTTTATCTTAAACATTCACAATATAGCATCTTTTAATAGAAGTTGCACAAACCGGCTGTTTTAAAACATAGGAGCGCTTAGAGTGACAAAATAGTCGCGTTTAGAAGAGACGCTGCGAATAAATAGTTATGGTAAAAGAGTGAGGGGAGCATTATATTTCAAACATGCAAATCTACCAAAAGATGCGTTTATCCAAATGATACCAGAAACCGTTAAAAAAGACCTTGTTTATCCACTTGGTGTGGACAATACACCGTGGTGGAATTGGAAAAGTTGATAAAGCACTCCATGTTTACTGCCCTTTTTTAATTGAGGCATTGCATACACAGGAGATACAGACAAACCAAGATGAAGAAAGTAGCATATTGCACAAGATGGTCAACAAGGAAAGAAAAAATGATGAAACAAGGCACCTCTGTCTGATCTTTCGGCTTTCCATTAACCTTTGCGTTGTTGTTGGATACTTTGGGTGGAGGCACCATGTACTGAAGCGGGTATTTACTCTAGAAACGAAAAATCATGTGATCAGAAGGTGTTTCACATAAGAGCAATGTCATCCATTTTAAAATCTAACCTCTTTTACATTTCATTCCCAAATTGCAGAATATCTCCTTCAAATTATGCCGTTTTTCTTATCCATTGACGGGTTCACCTTTAAAGGCCGACAAGCTATTTGCTCCTCTAGCTTTCACAAATGATTCACCTATGAGCATCCTGCCATTAAAAATCATACTCTCTTCCCCTTTTATTATCCCCTAACGTTTTTACTCTTTTATTATTTTATATGAATTTCTGTATAGCTTTAGATCATTACCCGGCAATTTATCCATCATTAGTAGAATACATAATACCTTTGCTTTACGTACCATTAAAATTTTGTAATACAATAAATGAATCTAATTTTCAAATCACCAAGCAGGCTTAAAAAGGGAACTTAAAGAAATTATTTTCACTTACAACTCGCTTGCCTCCTTCACTTTTGGCAAACGTGATATTTCCAGTTAAATACTGACCATGTTTAATTGCTTTAGGAATTCTGAATGAACAGAAAATAATTTTACATTTTATGTAGATCGCTGTAAATAGGGTCCAAAGATTTGAGGATTTCAATCACATGTAAACAGTTTTGGAAGTGTCATTACAGGACTTACTTTGGGCATAAAAAAAACTGCATATCTGCATATGTGTGTGTTATAACAAGTAAGATCCTTTTAGAATATTTTCGCCTCAAAAGAAGTCATTAAAAGTAAGTGAACTAAAGTCATTCAAAGTCAGCCTGTCAAAATTTACGAAAAGTAAAAGGGGCATGTCACTTGTCATCCCTATTTCACCCAACCATTGGTTTTAAGGCTGTTCGTAAAAACAGTCTGATATATATAAATAAATCGGCAAGTGACAGAGACTGGGCAATTTTTACAGTCATGTGCTAAATTTGCTAATTGGCCTATTTTGATCCGCAATATGGTAAAGTTTCCTAACTTATAGTTTTCAATGTTCTGAGGATTTGAACTCTGAAGAGTATCCGACGAAAAGCTTTATTATGCCTTAAAATGATTTTTCAAAGCAATCTTTAGAAATTAATATCTAAAGTGTAATTATGAGGCAATATAAGAGACACCAATGACTAAACTGTTCAAATGATATAATAAGAAATGAAAACTTAAAGAATTTTGAATACTTGTCGTCATTTAGGGAAGTAATATAGACTTGGCATGTCATTCCAGGTTGAAGTCTCCTTGACGAGAATTTCGATCGATTATTCACAGTGTAAATATCCTTTCGTCTCGCGTAACAATCCAATGTTATTGGCGAGTTCAATTTTACAGAAAGGTTTAAAACCATGTTACGCATTTTCTCTAGCTGGTCTTTCACGTCATGTCGCAACTGAAAACGAAGTTTTATGTCAAATCGATATGAAAGCTATAGCGTAAAATTTTGAAAATGTTAAAGATTTTGTAAAAATAGGATGTAAGTTGACTTTAAATGTTAAGATCTCTTGTAAATAAAAAACACAACCATGTTAAGAATTAAATCGAGAGCTTCCCAAGCATTACATAAACTGTTGCGAGTGGAATTTGAACATTGAACATCCGCAAATTGGGATCAAGCAATTAGTTGTCAGTAAAACTAAAGCGTCTATGTAGAAAAATGTTCGCTTACTTGAAAAAGCAGTGTCATCGATCCATTCAACTTTGCTGTGTATTTATACTGAAAAAAATATCACTTTCAATAAAAATGAAGACCATTCTCTTAGATACAATTTTCTTATCTATCGCCTATACTTGTTTAAAAATAAATAGCTAGTTTTTTCAGTAGCAGTCTTAATAGTACAACGTCATAGATCAGAGAACATTGATTGGTCCAAGGAAAATGCACCGAATAAGTTTGTTTTATTTTTGCTTATTTTGCTCTATCTAATCGATCACTGTATACTTCGACAATTATGAAAAAGTTTGTAACAAAGTATTAAGCATACCCAAATAACGCCAGCAAAAATTAATATTCAGGTGAGTATCGAATGTAACATGAGGGGAAGAATGCCAAATTTGATTGGTTCCTTGGTTTATCCAATCAGGGACCGCTAGCCTCTCTCACAGTTGAAAAATCCATCAGAGATAAACGAGCTCTTTCTTTCTGTCTGAGTGAAGGACGAGAAGGGTAGCGAATTTCATAGCTATCCTACTCTTTATTTACGAATATAGGAGCTTTGAAGTGGAAGAGATTCTGGTCTGGTGGAACCTGTGACTAGAGGCATGTAGTATCCTTATATTAATAGTCAAATAAGCTGACATGTCCCTAATACAAACCTTAATTGGAAAAGCATCCCCAGCTCTGACAAACTTCTTGTTTTGGTCAAAGATCATCCAGTATTGCGATCCGTATTCTGATTCATAAAGCAAATCGTGGAGCAGGGGGGCTAGTGGGGTAACTTCGGCCTCTTTGGACTGAAATGATGAATTAAGTGTCTAAAAACTGATAGAAACAATGAGGAAAAAGCAGGTTGAAAAACACGAAAACTTGAAAATTTTGTATAACACCAGACAAGCTGTAAAACTGTAGACTGTTGTTAATGCATTTTACTTTATAAACTAATAAACTGCATTTTATGCTATTCTAAATAGATTAAGTTACTGAATGAAGACAATAGATAAAAAGTATGGAAAACGTTTTAAAGTTTTCACGATGTTAAATCACGATGTTAAACTGCTAACAGTGCTTACTCACCAGCGTAAAATTGTACGTTAAAACTAGTTCGTAGATTTGTTTGCCTCCTGGAATAAGGTCTCTTGCTCCGAGAGGGCGTAGCTTACTATCTTTTGGCCTACGAAGACAAATTATACCCTTGAAGAAAATGGCTCTTTTTCGCTACAAAGCTAACGACAGACACAGCAAAAAATGGCAGTCAAGATTAGAAGATTTATTGTAGTCCAGTAGCTGAGGGTTGGAACAATTCAACATAATCGCTTAAAGAAGTGGGACTTAATCACAATCATAAATATAGTTTCTTCTTAGACACGATTTCATCTTATGGTATATAGAAAATCATATTTACAAAATATCTAATAATACGATTAACAGAAAAAAATTATGCAGCCAGTTAGCCTTCTGAGGGGGTTTTGAGATAACATCTATGATGTAAACGGGCAAGAACAACAAAAAGTAAACACTTAATAAACCAGTACAGCCTGAAAGTCTTTATATTAATTCAATTTATTGGTACCAACATGTATAATTACTATTTCTAATCACTTACGTCAGTGGTAGTACATAGTGTGTTAGAGTAGCAACAGGTAAAATATCCTCTGCCATTGATTGACATGTGACATCAACTCTAGTAAGACCTTCACAACCGTTCTAAAAGACAGATTTGATCTAATCAAAACGAAAATAGATTTATTGCAACTTACATCTGCCGTAATTCAATTCATTTTCAGCTAACGCAGAGGCCCCTAGATTTCAATGCAGAAGCCCCTTTTTGTGTATTGACATCGAGCTTACTCAATGTTAGAAGTTCCCGTGTCATTCAAGTTTCAGAATTTTGGTGTTAGAACATATTCTGTATGAAAGTAGCTGAGCAAGGATTCATGCTGTATCTAAACTCATCCACTACATCGTTGGTCAACTCTAACCACCCACTGGGGAAAAACGATTAGGCCCTTCCATTATTATTACTTTAATCTAGTTTGGTTTGTCACCAATTTTTTGATTGGATAGTTTGAAGATCGAATGGAGTGTATGAGCATCATTCTCATATTGAGCATCAAAACTGTTCTATATACATTTACTGGAAAACAAATGGATTTTTATTGACTCTGAAGGTTAAATATTATCATTTTCTGCTTACGCTTGAGCTTAGAATGTCAAAAACATGACGGAAGATTTCAAAACAATATCCCTCAAACAGGAAGCGAAGGTCCATCAAAGAACATTATTGGTTCTCAGAAATCACTCAGAAAGAACATCTCTACAAGTCTTTGTTGAACTTACCAAGAAAATTTGCTTGCAATTTGGTTCTAAACCATGGAATTCTACACTATACAGGAGATTCGACGTACCAATGTTATTCCACCATCTTGCTACGCAAAGTTCTAAGGTATAACCACCCTAAATTGAAAAGAATGGATATTCTTTTAAAGCTTATTTGCACTCATAGACATGTAAAATGAGACAAAAAAGCTTGAGATGTTCATTAATACGTTTGATATTTGCATGCGTTTAAATCGATTTAATAGCTGTAGCTGAGCATATGGAGCTAAGAATAGCTTTATAAATGCATGTTTTAAGCAATATTTTAAAGGCCGTCTTTGTGACATTACCAAAAAAAACAATAAAACCAATTTGCTGCGTTAACTTTCATTGCTTATCCACTCATGTTTCAATTAATTCCGCATATATAACACAATAGAGAGTTCAAGATAGTCACGCCTAAGACAGCCTAAGACAAATTAATATATGTTTATGATAAAACTCACCAGAACTTTAACATACAACCTCGATGTATTAAGAGGCTTCAACGTGACATACTCTCGCATATCGTTTTCAGAAAACCTGCTGTCTTTTTCCAACTGCAGCACATGAACAAGGTACCGCGCATCTTGAGAAGCATCTAGTGACTGGAGTGTTAACTCTGAAAGCAAATGCAATAGCTATACAGCTATAAGGCTATCAGGAAAGTTCAAGTGTTGTGTTTCACTGATCACATGAAAAAACAAGAGGGGCTTTTACATTCAGCTATTCACGAGCAGAGCAGCTAGTTTGCGAATATCGAAAGAAGGGCGAAGAGGTTGTTGAAGAGCCTAAAGAAGTAAAAGGTTTTTGGAGAGGGATAAGATAAACAGCAAAACGTATAGAAGGCAACCCCACAAGGAACTTTCAACGAATAACACAAGGTACGAAGTATTAAGAACAGGAAAGAGTGTGGAGAATGAATAAAGACTCCATTAAACAAATCAGGAAAGAGAAAGAGCGAAATCGTTCGAAGTGGTAAAATAAATCAAAGAGGATAAAAGAAGTAGAATAGAGAATTAAGTTAAACATGAAGAGCAAAGAGAAAGAAGGAAATAGAAAACGAGGAATGACGCAGATTTATCGAGGTAAGATATATAAGGAAATATGAATTTTGCTTGGCTAGTTTGAACATTTGAAATAATTCTCAAGAAATCCATGTAATTCAAATAATTAACGCAGCAAATTAATACTAATTGTCATAAAATTAGATTAATTGTTATACAAGGCATACAAAAGATTAGAAAAAGATTCATAACAAACAATGATAATTACCAATCCATGTGCATCCATTAGGAACTGCTATAAAATGTCTTTTCACTTCTCCTGGTTTGAAATCTTTTTGAAACTTTTCAGGAACGTCACTGTCGATTTAAAAAATACTATCTTTAAGCTTTCTTTTCACAAATTGGTACTTTATAAATTGACTACCAATTTACAAACCATCATTGCCTTGAGATTTTGCAAATCATTCAGTAGCCATAACGTACTTCTAGAATGTTAAAAATTATGTTTTCATGAAAGTTGAAGTTGCACTGGGAAGTCACACAGTGAACCTGCAAGTTAGATGTTGCCGTGTCGTTTGTATATGTTTGGTCTTGTGAAGCTTTATCATCACAACTACATAAGCACGCTGGAACTGTTTATTGTTACCCAGTCCTGAAAAAATCAGCTTTGTGTTCAAAATACAAACCTGGAAGGGACAACCACGGTAACTGGGACTCTAAATAGAGGGCCTTGGTTTTTATGCGAAATTTCATATGCACAAACCTAAAAAGAAGAAAAGAGGCATAAAATTGAGGGGAAAATTGATGCTAGATTTAAAATTCTGTTTCTAATTTCTACAGTTTCTAATTTCAGTGTTTTTTACTATTTTATTGTAAAATTCACATTGACGTGACGGTATGGATGTTTTTCAAGGGACATGAAAAGCAAGTTGTCAGAGGCAAACTTGGAGTATTTGAGCATCAATTTTCACATATACGGAGCATATTACGGATTTGAGGAGGGCTGAAAGACACTGGACGTTTCAACATGCTAAAGCCCAAAATAAGAAGTGAGTAAAGACGAGAAAACAAGTGCATTCTTCCGATGACAAAACGTATCCTTATAACCAAACGGCAAACGATGCTGAAGAATTCAAAGAATAATTTTGACATGCCTCTCCATAATGTACCCCTTGATTGAGGCCCGTAGTATCGACTCTGATACCGATAGTTCTCTCTGAAAGCAAAATAAAAAATTTCAAAGAGAGTTAATTTATATGGCAATACAAGACTTAGATTATCTGATACGGTCTTTGATATCTATATACCAATACATGTCAGTTGACAGCATTGTGAAAGAAGATTTGATTAATTATGTGCAGCGTCTTTCAGAATACTCAACAGCAGCCATATTTGTTATTAACTGACGTCATCAGGCTATATCTTCGTGCACTAAAATTACTAATATCAACTTCCACCGTTCTTAAAAGGTGCTCATAAGCTTCGGATTCTCGTGATAACAGGCACCCATCAAAACGAGTCTCAATTATTGTTTTAAAACAAGATTGGCTACGAAGGTTACCTGAGTTCGCTAAAGCGAAATGCGAAGGCGCAGTGATCCATGGCACAGTTGCAACAAGGCATGCCCGAATGTCAAAAGTGAATTTTAGGTCATTTGCTACAAAAGAACAATTTAAAAGTTTAGCTCTAAAGAAACTTTACACATGTTTCTTACTTCAATTCTTACACCAAGTTTAATAATAATAGATTAGGCAAACACGGCCACCGCCCAAAATAGATTAGGCAAACACGGCCACCACCCAAAATAGATTAGGCAAACACGGTCACCGCCCAAAATAGATTAGGCAAACACGGCCACCGCCCAAAATAGATTAGGCAAACACGGCCACCGCCCAAAATAGATTAGGCAAACACGGCCACCGAACTTTCTGTGAGGGTATTCTTATCTTGCCCTGTCAGAATTATCCATGAAAAGAGAAAGAAAACTCTCAGCTTTATGTCCATTTTCCTGATATGTATTGCTTATTTCTAAAGGGTACACAAAACATCACAAGATGAAATTATTACGTTTAGCTTGTGTTAAGCAATTCATACAACCAAACGGTCCCTTTTTAATGATTCTCTTGAAAGTGCCTTCGCGAAATTAGCCTCTTTAAATTTGAAATTTTTACGTCAAAGTTAGTTTAATCTGGTGTAGGCTAGACCAATAGTATTCAGGCTCTATCATTCCATGTTAGATACAGTTCAGTTTCTAATCTTGGACCGTAGGGCCAGTGCAGTATAAAGTCAAATCACACTTGTCATACGTCACAAATTACTGGGCGAGCAAAACAGTCCAACTCAACGAAGTAAACTCTCACCACAATCTTTGTGGAAAACCGGCACAATGGTGACATTTCGCAGGCTTGGCTGTCGAAACTGGTATGGTTCACGTATGTAAATGCCTCTTGATCCATTTTCACATTGAATCTAGAATCAGGTGATTAATGCAAACATGTTTATTTTCCACTATTCATACTGATATGTCAACGTATATAGATACAAGGGCGAAAACAGGAAAAGGTAAGGCAAGTTCTAGTGAAGTACTAGTAAGAAGTGAAGTCAAGTATTAGTACGTCTTGAAATTGCATTGACTCTGAAATCAATCTCATTTTATTGTTCGTGTTTATTACTGCTGCATAGGTGATGTATTGAAAAGACGATCAGTAGTAAGATCAAATAAAATCAAATTCTCACAACAACAACGTGTGCAAATTTTCACAGGACAATTCCGAATGTTCTACCCTATTTGAACTACCTTCTTCGTAAATTTTTAATAAACACAGAATATAAAACACAAGGCTTGAACGCATCTGTGATAGAAAGATACCTTAAATGTGACATCATTTATCCACGGCCGAGATTCAGACTTCATAAGCTCAAATGCTTTGTCGACCTAAAAATAAAATTAACTGTAGAGTTGGCATATTGGCATCCATCCAGAAGCAGTCAGTGTGGATGCTCTACAGTATCAAAAACTACAACATGCACTCAAAGAGGCATCCCCATATACCCCACATAGACCATTGAATCCATCAAGGAATACCCTATCTTTTGTGTTGAATATCATATGTGTCATGATTCCCAACAGTATCTGGCACCTTCCACATTCAGCATATCACCCCCACTTTATACGCTGAGGATTGTGGGGCGAAAATGCATTTACCTGCAATAACATGGTTCAGCTTTTTCGTGCAATTTCGAAATAATTCTATTAAATAAGTTTTGCTTTATGTATCCCCTAAGGCTGCACAAATCTTGTAATGGTGAATGTACGAAACTATTTATAATCCACTATTTATAATCCAGTTCAACGGTTCAAAAAATTAACTACACATTTCCTTAGATCCATTCCCTAAAATTCTCTCTCTTTTTGTCGTTTTCTCCTATTCCCACTTCGTAAAAATTTCAAGATCTTTCTTCTGTTCCTCACCACTTATTCATAGACTAACAACTATTCAAATATTAATGCCGTGAAAGAAGTAACTTGAAAATAGTAAAGGCCATTGTGTGCCCATAATCTTCTAGTGTTGGATCTGTGCATCGTTTTTAGTTATTATTGTAGAAAAAATGGGTGAGCGAAACATAATATACAAATGAGCCGTGTACCTAGGTAATTATTTAAACAATATATATATTGGCAAGGTAGGGGGTGAGGCGAGAAAAAAGCGATGAATCTAGCTTCCCTTTTAAAAATCTTCTGTGGCACTTTTAAGACGTTTTTGTACAACTATTTGATGGTATCATTTACTATTTTAAAATCTTTTTTGAGATGACTTTAAACTTGAAACAAATTCTTTAAAGAGCTCTCATCACAGTTTGAGAACCAGACTTCAAAATTTGGAAGCAAGCACAGTGACATTGGAGTGTGGGGTTGGAGTAAAACTGGGATTAGGATTAAGATGACAAAATTTCATCCTTGGAGCAGCCAAATAAAAAGGGTGATAAATTGGTAATAATTAATAAATAAAATTATTTACTGGAAATATCTATACTCACTTGCAGCATACCCCTGCCTTGAGTAAGCTCTTCTGAACCTGTAAACAAACAAATAGAGTTACTGCAAAATATTCTTTGCGTAAGAAAGGCTTCAAAAGCTCATTTTGTTGCAACTTTCGAATCTAGCAACATAAAGACTGTGGTACATAGTCTCAATTTTCAGATGCCATACATGTTCTCACATAAAAGAAACAACACTGTATCAAAAACAAATGAACATTTTTCAGTTTGAATTTACCTTCAATTTTCAATGCTGAATTTTCCAAACATCTCCGTATGCTGTAAGATAAAGTAAAGTAAAAAATATAACAATAAAGATGAAATGAATCCAATAGAATCAAGTTCCTTTCCTTTTTTTACAACTTTGCAAAAGTTTTCATTTATCTTAATTCGAAAAAATTTCGTGATCAGAATCATACGACTATTATCAGAACATTTGTTTTGTTATAGAAAAGTTACTATTTTACAATCATCAGAGGAAAATTCTAAATGATGACTGTTTTCTACGGAGTCTTGAATTTGATTAACTCCATCAATTAAAATGATCATTAAACTTTCTTTCCTGAAAATTTAAATAATGAATTAAACAACAAAAATATCAAGGAAACTAAAAACTGTATTTTTGATAAATGCCCCCTACTTTAAAATGGTTGCTTAAAAGACCCCCACCCCTGCTCGAAATAACGCCCTCCCAAAGGGACGAGAAATTTAAAGAACACATTGGAAGTTCTCGTCAAGTAAAAAAGTAGCCTTCTTCTCGTTATCTAGAATCCAGTTCTAGTTGATAATATACATAAAAAATCAAATTCATTTCAAAATTGTTAGTGCAGATTAACAGGGAACAGTGTTACCGCAACAGTATAGGCATCAATGCTTGCACAGGCCAAAAATTGTCTGCTACAAAGAGATTGTGGTGATATAGAAATTATTATTAGCTTTTCTATAAAGAGGGTGTAGCCTAGATCACATGACTTGGATCTCCGGGAAGAAACATTTCTCACCTCGGTGGGGCATATGCAATGCACTCTGCCTTTAGAGCTGAAAGCAAAACCGCTGAAACGAGAGAAATAGTAGCACTAAGTAAGTATGAGAACGGTTTAGGGATCTAATCATCCTCAAAGATAAATTTCCACCATATTGAATGTTTTGATTCTTGGATAATCTATTTTTTACAGATACTTTCACAAAGGCAATAAATGATTACATCAAGAAAATATGATCTGTTTGTTTCGAAATAATAATAAAACTCAGGAATTTCTTCTTATGAAGCTGAACACAAGCTAGAAAAATTCTCCCCGTAGCCTGTTTTTGAGAACGTCAGGGATGAAACGTATACGAATGACTTGCATCGCCAGCTTACGTGATCATCTGATTATACGGAAAGGGAAATCCGTAAGCAGTCAAGTGTATAATGAACAGTAGAGGAGAAGGTCACGAGCTTTGTGGGAATCCCATTCAACAATCACTACCAGACTCTAAAGTCACTTTTGAAGATTAAAACGATTTTTTCCAGCGACTTGGATGATATTTACATAAAATATCAATAATGTTTTAGGGAAGAAGAGGAAGCAAAAACAGTAGTAATGAGGCACTTAGATACGAGCTTGAGATAAGATATGCACATGTTAACAGCTTACATAAACTTACCCACGCCTCCACAAGCGTTTGGCGATGACATTGACGTCCCGTTCATCAACTGTGTATTTCGTAAAGTCCATTTTGGAACAGAGGTTATTGCTCCTCCTGGGGCAGTTATACACACACCCAATGATCCACCTGCGCAGGGGCCCCTTGATGACCAAGTATACTGTTTTCCCGGCATTTTCTCCAGGGTTGAGTACTCTGCTTGCATCATTTCAGGTGATACGTATGCACCAACACCTAGATTTAAATGCATTTAACTATTTAAATTGTAGTAACATTGGGAAAAAAATATTTCTATTTCCAGAGAAACGGTGACTGAGAGACTGATTTAATATCTCCAAAACCGGAATTTTGTTATAAAGATCTCTGATCAAAGCAATCTGTTTCTTTAATAATAAAACCCGTCCACTCAGGCATTCCTTCTTCACAAAATACCTGCACAAGAATCTGCTGAGTCTATCAGCCTAGCACTTCACAGAGGTAAAGATGATAAAAAATCTCCTTGTATATGCAGTGCATAAGCACATGTGAATAAATCCTCGGCTTACCAATTACAAATTCTGACGAGCCACCAGGTGCCCCAACGGTCGACAAAGCAGGACCATCATTTCCTGCACTTGTGACAAAAATAATATTGTGCTTGCTAACAGTTTCGTTGATCATCTCGATAACACGACTATAACAGAAAAAAACCAAGAGATGACTATGTCTTATCAGAAAAAGCATAAAATTAGATAATATATCAAGATAGTATAAGATGTATTCTAATATAGTATTGAATGTAACATAGTAATGAAAACAGCAAAATTCTTACCCTGCGTTAGGCCATTTCGATGATTCTCCATAGCTCATGTTAATAACATCAACTTTATTGTCAATGGCAGCGATTAGCTGGAACAAGAAAGGAAAAATTGAGTCAAATATGAATGAAAAAGGGTTCTGGTGGATGAATAAGGGGACAGCGTTTATCGAAACCGCTGATTATAGTCGATGTTTCCAGCCTACTGCAAAAGCACTGTGTAAGCTGTTGTGGCCAATTTAAACCAAATGGTAACTCAGTTTGAATGTAGAAAAATTCATATACTTCGAAGCCCCTCTCAATCATTCTCTATTATTTATATTTGAAGGACGCCATTAAATGTAAAAACTTTTTTAATCAATCTCAAAGACAGTTACTTGGGCTCAACACGGCATGATAACTGCAATATGGAACACATAGGAAGTAGAAGCGATTAAAAACAAGAAAACATCTAAGACATTATATTCTTGCTGTATTTTAAGAAAAAAGAAATTAGATTTTCAACCTACCGCCCTCATTATTGCCGATCCAGTTTCCATTGAATCCAATTTCGTGTCTCCAATTTTCATTGATATCACCTGATAAACAAGCACAAAATTTAAATTTTTCATGAATTAACAATATGACTCTGTTTGTAATAGCAAGAAGAAATTTTAGGAAGGACAAAAAATACACCTCTGTATCGATATCTTATCAAATGCTGTAAATTCGATATTTGTGATTGAATTTTTCTTCTTATCGTTGGACTTATAACAGAAATACGTGCATGCAGTTAGTGTACGGTTGGGTAATTTAGAGGCCTAGACTCCTTCATGTTATCCTAAATGACTTCATGTAACCTCTTTAGTTAGTCAAAGCAAAGGAGCAGTCATGATAAAATAAATCTTCTTATTAACAAATATATTAAAACGGAATTGAAGACATTTGCATCCGTTAAATCTTCCCAAGAACTTTCGTTTGGCATTCCAATTTCAACTTAAGACAAAAAGAGGTCGCAATGGAGAAACATTTGACTGAATCAAAATCTAAATGGTATTCACACAGGTGATTTTTGACACACAGGTGATTTTTGACTTCCGCTAATTGAACTTAACCAGGTAATCTTTATACTAAACCGGCCTTACCAAGCTTACGTCTATTTTGTTAGTTCGCTAAAACAATATCACCACCGCAAAAATAGCAATCAACTTTGTGCAGTCAACCAACATGGTTCTCTAACATGGTATTATATATTTGAAATGCAGTAGAAGTATATGCATGTCAAGCATACCCTAGCGCCTGGTGCAACTCCATTGTAGGCTGGTGCATCTTCGTGGTATCCGGCTGCAATGCTTGCGACGTGAGTGCCATGACCACCTCAAGAAAACGGAAATGTGTTGGAAAGTTGAGGTGGAAAAGGGTGCAAAAAATGCCCTGAAAGCTTAATCAAGTCTGGATAGGAAGCATTGTATAGCTGAATTGAGTTGAGGTAATTTTAAAGGAAAAAAGTTTCACTTTTGATTCAATGATATTCAAAATTGTCTACTTTATAAAACTGCAATGTGTATTTTTTGCTTGTTTTGTTAGTTTATATCCTCTATCATTTTAGATCTATATCAAAATTCTTCTATCATTTTTGGAAAAATTAACTGAATTTTATTTAAATTATGATGACTCATTTGCCTTGGAAAAATCGTCGAAGCTAACAGCATATCAGAAATCCATTTTATTGTAATCGGAAACTTGGGCAAATGATTTGGGAAAAATAGAATTTCCACCTATACGCTCTATATATATAGTGCTCAATGTTACAGAAAAAGGTGACTTATTTCATATTACGAGCTCTTTCATTTGGTTTGACTGACAATAAAAGATCTAGCGAGGATGGCATTGCAATTAAAAAGATAACGGACCAAAAATCTTTGCCAAACCAAATACCACACAAACATTAGAATTGTATTAAAAACTGCTTTCAGAGAGATGAAAACTAGCAGAATTGCCCCGAATAATCCTCGCAAGAAAATACCTAAGATGTAATTAACAGTGAAATTAGCTTAATTCGGTTGCATTTGAAAACAACCCCGAGAAGAACCACAACTGAGATCCCATACAAACCTATTAAAGCTACAAATTTATCTATGTATCTAGTATGAGCATAAATGCCCTGACATTATTTTGCAGACACAAATAACTCTGAGATTAGACTCAAGCACAATTTGGTCTAAAGAGCTTCTTATTTGCTAAAATTTTGGCATTACCGATCAGGCATTATCAGGGGTTGCTGCGATTTTTTGAGTATTTTAAAAGTGCTTAAAACTCGTAACCAAATGAAAATATAAGGAGATGCAGTAAAAAAATGAAGCACAAATATTTATCATATGAAGCTACCAAAGCAAACTACATTTAACTTTTTAACATTGTAAAGAGGGGAATGATTTTAGTAAATAATTAAACTCACTGCAGTTGGTAACAATTGATAGGGTATTGCCTTCGTCGTAAACATTTATACTATAGCTGAGCATATCTAAAATGGAAGAAAAAGAATTTGTTGTTAAAACCATTGATCAAAGAACATGATTGGAATGAATGGACATAATAATAAAACTTAACAAATCTTTACTGTATAAATTAATGAAAGAATGAAAATCTGAAACACTTTACTATATCATTTCAAATTTTTTTTAACTTTATTGGTATAAAAAATTTCCAAAATGACAACACGTGAAATTGGGTCTATATAAAATCACAATAAAAATAGCTCCTTAGAAAAAGATATTTACCCAAAAAAGATTTGTAAAATTGAAAATGAAAAAGCTGGGGATCTATACAAGGGCAAACCTAAGTAAAGAAGAATTTCTTACTATAAAGAAAATATTTCAAACTCAAAAAAATCAATTTCATATGGTTATGTACAACCTCTAGATCTATTCTCCCTACATCTGGTTCCTAACACACAGAAACATAATGACGAAACTGCTTGGCTTACCATCATCTCCGAAACGTGAGAAATCTCCTGACGTTCGAAATGGCCTTAGAACAGTGCAACTGGCCAAATCCCCCGTTTCTGTTGTATCAATACAGGCACTGAAAAGCAGGAAATACAAAGCCATTAACATGCAGGGTTTTGTCTGGGTGATAAGATGGCAAAAAGGTGATTGTCATCTTGGCAATCTCATATGTAGGGTAAAAAAGCAAAGTTATAGGCCATTACCACAGGCAAAAAAGCAAGGCTGTGGGCTAAAATTTCTGAATCATTGAAGGCTAAACCATGGCCCCAGATTCAGATGCAGAACCAAGCATTCGTGTTCTTTGACAATTTACATATTGATTGAAAAATAACTCTCTATCAATTGAACCCTTTTGATTGAAGACACACTCAGAGTTCATAGCCTGATGCAGTACTTTCTAGTCGATTGCTTGTAAAATAAAATGTATCTGTTTTATCTACAGCTGATTCAAATATCAGTACCACTTTATTCTAGGATTTTCTTAAAAGGTATTACACACCACCAATCGTCTCCATCATGAAAAACCACACAGTCATAAACAGGGCCAAGGTCTTTGTATTTCTTCTCAAGTGAATTTAAAACCTCAACTGCTGCCTTGCAGTCTTCATGGGTAAGTCTTTGCTCCTGGAGCAAGCAATATAAAATGTTAAGAATCAAGTTTTTCTTGTTATATAATAAAAAATAGGTCAATAGTAGCTGCACTTTTTATAATCGTTCTACAAATGATACTATAAATTGATTTTTCAACTTTCAAAACAATATGCAATAAATACCAGTCCCTTTTAAAAATTCCCACAAAGTATCATAATTTGGACAGTCTCAGCCTCTGATAAAAATTAATCATAACAAAAATATTTATTGCATAATGGATCTTTCTACCTTTTCCGCAGGAAAAAATTAATTTTTTATAAAAGATACAAAAACTTTAAACATCTATTGTGGTGGTACATGTTGTCTTTAGATTGTTGAGCTAAACAAGATCAACATGATGCCAAATGTACAATTAAACTGCTTGTTATTCAATTTAAGAAATGCCTAACAATGGAAGGTATCTGGGGCCGTATGGAAAAAAACTAAGATGGGGCCCCTTTTTACAGAGTACAAGAAAGTCTTATCCAACATTTTATAACATGTAAAACACAAAAGCAATATGTAAAAATGATAATTTTCCTTGTTAACAGAGGAAAGCTTAGTTATGGAAGCTAAAGTTGAAGAACTTTAAAGTTATTGAGAATAAGATGAATTGAGCAATGTCTTGAAAACATGGATATTCAAGGGCTCCTTTTGGTCAGAGGTCCCTAGCCATCAAACAAAGGTGACCTAAGGTGTTAAAACGAAGGTGTTAAACCATTTCTGCCTACAAAACATATATTCCTAGATTGTTATTACAAACAAAATCTTAAAAAATTACAACCAATTATTGTCAGTTTATGTTTAAGAAAAGACCTTCCTTTCCTGGTATGGATGACATGCTCAAAAATTTTGTTCTTTTCCTTTGGCTTTAGTTAGTAAAGAAGCATTCATCTCCTAGCTGAATTATTTACAATAAGATAGTTGTACTTAAAATCTACTGGAATAGTTGTACTTAAAATCAATACTTACAGATGTTACAGGTGATGGACAGCTCTTTTCAAATTCAAATAAACGCTGGGTAGCATCTGCCAGACTGATGTTGTGGCCAGGAGACCAATGTTTTTCTTTCACCTCATTCTAAGACAAATTTTAAATACAACTTAGCACTAAATCATGCTCATGATAAGCACTAAAATGCAACTTAGATGGTACTTAAATGCAACTGAGAGATAAACAGCAAGAGAAGCATGCAATGCTTGCAGTATTTGGAAGAATTGTTGAAAAAAGAAAAGGCTCTTGAAAACATATTGCTAAAATGTGAAAAGGTTGAAGATGTTAAATATTTTTGCTGAAAAATATGAAAAAACTTACTTTTAAGTCTTTGCACAATTCAAAACATGGCTATATACATAATACCTGTATACTTCTATTTGCCTATGTATTACCATTACCTGGAGTCTGCTTTTCAGTCGACTAGGGTACAAAAGATACCCACTTTTGACCCCAACATGAAAGACACCTGTTGGATTTCTCCAATGGTCTGGAACCTAAACAAAAAAATTGATTCATTGATTAAATTCACCATTAGCTGAATTTAAGTAACTGAAGTAGATTTAATACTGAATAATCTTTACTTTCATTGGCTTCTATGAAACTTCACATCAAATTGTTTGCAACTCAACTTTTTCACATCAATCTATTTTATGCCATTTTCTGTGTGAAGTCACACAGGGTAACTAAGAGGGTTGCAAATGTTTTTCTGTTTGTTAATGTATCAAATAATTGTTTCAATGTCCAATGAGTTTAAAAAACATGTAATTTATCAACCAATTTTGTATACCAACCACCCAGAAGTGGTAACAAATGATGGGTTTGATTGGTTATAAAAGGAAATCAAAACTCACTATGAGCTGCCTGCCTGTCAATCCAAGTAAAATTCCATCTTGAACAGTTCTTATAACAGTTGTATCTACATCTCCACTTCCAGAGCAATCTATTAAATCCACGATTTTTCTCTGTCCTCCTGGCAGTTCCTACAAATTATAATTAAATCATGAAAAAAATTAACTCTTTTACAAAAATATCAATATTATAACATAACAACAAACAAACAAATTTTTGAAAATGGGCCTGAATTTAGCACTGTGCCTTTTTGTGGCCCAGACCAGAAACTTTGTTGTGCGCTCGTAATATACTGCCCACACAATCAAATTTTCCCAGTGTGGAATCCATGTTGCCTACACAGGAGATATCTGGCATAGACTAACAGTTTTCCATTGTGTTTCTATTGTTCATTGGCATAAATCCAGCATAAGATTCAAATGGATTCCACCCTGAAAATTTTCCATCCACACACTTTTGCATACTAGCAGTGCAAAGTCGCTGGTAGATAAAATTTTAGATTATTAACATTACAATTTCACTAATGTAGGCATTATCAAGCACGCAGTCACAAATTTCCAAAATGAACTTGTAAGCGTAAGAAACATAGTTTCCAGTCTGCTTTTACCCAATAAAACAGGCCCTCTTATTATTTTATTGCAAGTTGTAACAAATTTACTGATCCTGTTTTCATAAATAAAAATAGTATTTATTTGTTTTCGAATAGAAAATAAAGCAAACGAAGTACTGAACTTACTTCAAAACCTACATGCATAAAACTCTGACATTACAATGCAGCATATTCCGCTGGCGAGCGGCCTATATATACTAGGCGCTATTGCATGTATGTTTGAGCAGCCCTTAGCTGGCAGTACCACAGAAAGAGCATTTCTCTGAAGCACAGAACACCGTAAGGTAGCGTCTAACTGTTTCATAGAAATTTAAAGTAAGGTAATTATTTTCAGATTCACCCAAAACCAAATATGCGACTGCCGTTAAGCTAACCCAAAACTAAATAAAACATGGCGCGATTTTTCCATACCTGTAAACCCGGCGCCGCAGGGTCTACGCCAGAATCAAATACAGCTATAAGTACCCCAGTTCCATCATACTCAGGAAACTTATTTATGAACCTCTCGGCGCCAATCTCTTTCTTGGGAAGCAAGGCGTCCTCCGGAAAACAATCCAAAACAATCTCTGGAGCGTACGCCATTTTGGCTCACGAACTAGAAGGTTGTTGTTGTTGTTGGGGAGACTGTTGCCAGCCTCAAACAGGTGTGCTCCAAAATTAACCCATTTGCTTTGGTCTTCAAACGTGTGACCCATTCGGAGCACCAGCTGTGGAATGTTTGAATAATATTTCCAGCTGCCCTAGAACACTCACGAAACTTTTATCTTTAGAAAATACGTTGTGTTCACTGGATAAATTCTTACGCTGAATGTTCCATGGAGTTCAAGTCTCTTATAAGTCACAAGTGACAAAAGAGTATTTCCTATTTTATGTACAATGAATTCTTTCTTTACCCATTCACTGGTTTCTTGTCCTAAATAAGGTTTAATGTGCTAATGAGTTGTAAATCTGTGTTTTCGACTGCTTTCCTGTACAGCTTGTTAACTATATCTTGATAAAGTAAGAATCCCATATATGGGTATATTTTTAATTTTTTTTTATGAGTGAACTTATTTTGTATGCTGAATTTAGCTGGACTTACGCTCTCGTGCCTGTAACATCAACATGGTGTTGATATTTTGTACCAGTAAAATAGTATCTCGCCTTACGATACATTGTTTTGCATCTCTGTCACCCTTTTCTAATTCAAAATCCCCATCTGCTCAAAAAAGTATAAAATTGACTATAAAGTATAATTATGGAAGTAAGTGCTTAACACCATCTTGGGGGACTTGCCCTATTTACAGGAAAATGACAAAAAAATCAAGGCCGAGTTTTTCATAAAAACATTATCAAATAAGCAATATAGTATCATGTAAGACATTCGAATACCTATAGGCACCACAGAGCATTGAGAAAAGTTGGGGGGTTTTAAAAAGTGGGGGAGGGCTAAAATTGAATAAAAAGAGGATTTACTGGTGGATTATTTCTTACTATCTTGTATTTTAGGTAGAAAGTGGGAGGCTATCCCCCCAGCTCTCCCTGCTCCCCCTGCTCCACAGTGCCTAACCTGACTTAAATTTGAAGCAAGATTATAGATTTTGAACATGAATTTGAAGTTCAACTACTGCATTACTTGCACGTAACCTTTTTCGTTGGGTTGTTTTCAGGAATGGTAAAGGGGTGATTGATCTGAATTGGTCCTGGATAATAGCATAGCTGAGCTGGCATTATTATAAATGGACGAACATTGTCCATAAAAATGTATTATTCTTGCACCAAAGTATCATACAAGTGAATACATAATCCAAAGTGAGTGGTATAAATTTGTGGAAGCATCTACGAAGAAGGTGTACCTTTTTACGTTAAGTGCCTTTGAAGAGGAGGCAGGCCATCCTCTTTTTGAAAAACAAAAGAGAGGCTCGTGGTGAATGGCAGGAAATCTCGCTAGCATGCTGTGTAGCTTTTTCTTACTGGAATAAGCGCGCACTACAAGCCTCAATTACGGCCTTCTTTGTTTCAACGTTAATACCTGCACACACCACTGACACAAGGTCACCCAGGCAGCCAATCAGAAGTGGCCTAGAAAGTTAGGGAAGTTTTTTTATCCAATAGGAACACCAGAAATTTGACACCTGCATTGAATTGTGTCTGCTCCCTTAAAGTAGCGGTTAATGAGTCGTGTGCATTGATAAAAGGGTCCACTGACGTGAGCGATCGCAACAGCAAAACATAAATAAAGAAATCGAGCATAGATGAAATAATGACCGCAGAGGTACTAAAGGATCAAGGGATGAAGATGAAAAGTGAGCCCCTGGAAGTAAAGGAAAGAGGTAGGACTTAATTTACTTTATTTGATATGGCTGCGCAATTACGTTCCTGTTTAGAACGCTTGACTTGGCTCTAATTGAGGTCATATCTGCACGTGGGCCTCGCAATTTTCACAACTTTGTTGCAAAATTGTTTTCTTAAACCTACACAATAGCAAAGTCAGAACAACAATAACTACAGTATTATTTCAAAGAAAATAGTTCAGCTAATAGGATTATTTTTACGATGCACCGAAGTGTATACTTGGTATATAAACCTTTAGGTATTTTGTGTTGCAACCGTGCAAAGACGTAACTTCAATAATTCCATCTACTCAAAAGACAAAGGCAAATCATTCTAGCGCTGAAGAAGCTATTTAACCATAGATATAGCGATTAATGAAATGAAATCCCAATATCCATGCATTGTGCATTTCAGAAGATTTTGCCTTGGTCCTAAAATGAGTTTCAAGTCGTCTATCTTTATCTAAATATTTATCAAAATTTTGAGTTTGTTATAGTTCTATCCAAAACATCGTTATTCATTATCTCCCCTCCACTTTAAAGGTCTGATAGGCAGTTGACTGGAATTATGCGAGAGCGATACCTAGCATCTTGCCTCGTTTGTATCCTTGTTTTAACCACTAGCAATTTCAGAGCTTGCATAAATTAATCAATTAGGAAAAGAAATTTGAAAATGCAAAATACACGTTTCCTTATAACAGCCAAAAATGGTCCAGCACATTAATCTTCTGTATGCATTTGCTCATGTGCATTTTGTGCTTTGATACTAAAGAACATAAACCTTGCTCTTAAGATGGCAGCTCCGCACCTTTTTCTTAATTAAAAGACGAGTGTTGCCTTAGCAGAGTATGTTTTTGTATGTTTATATAAGTGTTTCTTAGCTGGGTGAACAGAATATGCGCTCTGCAATTCATTTTAGCCATCATACCATATACGCTACAACCCTTTCGTCTTGATTATCAAAAGTGAAGAATGTGACGTAATATTTTACCAAATATGAATAAACATAGGTAGTCGAGAACTCAATAAATGAAATGAAGTAATTTGTTCTTTGCACTGAAAATCTCAATAAGAATAAATATTGCAATTGACTTTAAACACATAGAATAGGCATGAATGGAACATGGTTTTGTTACATCGAGCACGATTATCGTTTGAATATATAGACAGCCTTTTCAAGTTGCACTATCGCGAGGTTTGAAATACCATTTCTGATGTATTTTGTACATAAGAATTTGCTAGAAACGAAAACATAGAACGGAGGATCAAAGACCAACCATGCGGGTTGTAACGCTCCATTCGGATGTGGAGCACGTTGTTTAAAGTAAGTCTGACAGGTTGTTGTGTTGTGTACGCACGTTCATTATTCAGCATGGAACTGAGTCTCTGGTTAGGAAACGAGGTCCACAAAGCCTGCCTCTTTACTTTAATCGACCCAACATAAAGCAAGGGTTGAAAGTGTTTACCTCTTTTAATGAGGTTCGTTGATGTTGAATGTTAAATAACTTAAGATGCAAATTTGAGATGATACTTTAATCATAGCCTAAACACCTTGAGTGCTTCACTGTGAAAACTTATTGGTGAATGCAAATGCAACTTTGTTGTGAGTTTATCCATCATGGGGCGTTCCTACCTTTGTTAGTGCATATACACTGTTGCATATCAAACTGTTATTAGAATGTCTCTCTCACTCAGTAAGATTTTGAGATGACTGTATGGAAAACATCATGATCTTGTTGCAGTTGCCACCTTCAAGAAGATATTGGTCAACAGTTTTGCTAAATAAGGGCCTGATGTGTCTTTCTCGTCCCCCATGTGCTTTTCTGCCCCCCCCCCTTCACGTGCCTTTCTGTTCTTCTTCGTGTATCTTTCTATTCCTTGGTGAAAAATTTCTTTCCCTCATAAACTTCAAATACAAATTCTTTCAGCAGAGGAATCAGAAAAGAAGGAGGTCATTTTATGCAAAGTCTGTGGTGATAGATCGTCAGGAAAACATTATGGAGTGTATACATGCGATGGTTGCAGGGGCTTTTTCAAAAGGAGCATTCGTAGAAATCTTGTTTATCAATGCAAAGAGCACGGCAACTGTCCTGTCGATCTTGCAAGAAGAAATCAGTGCCAAGCATGTCGCCTGAAGAAATGTTTCAATGTCGGGATGAATCGAGACGGTAAGAAATCTACTCAATTGCATTCAGCTTTTTTAAGACTGGCTGCTTATGTTTAGGAGCGACTTAAGTCCATTTCTGACTTTGAGGGTCCATGTTTCAAAATTGTGAATGTGCTCTTCTACAATGTTGTAATGTACTCTACGAAGCATGTCCTTTTGGTAGTAGGCACGCACTTTCTGCTATCTTTGCGCCATTGGAATTCAAGGGTTCATTAACGGCCTCACAAGACACTTTTTTGAGTCTTCTGACAAAGTAAGGCTCCAGTAGGCGTTTTGGAATCTCCATGTAATCTATTTGCTTCCAGCTTTAACATGAAGTTGAAAATGTCAGCTTTTGAATGCCAGAGCGAGGTACAAAAGAATCAGTAGCACTTTCTCTAATAACTGAACATTTACTGAGACAAGAGCCGTTAAAAACGCAAGATTTTTTACAGGATTTCAAATATAGCCTACCACTTCAAGCCAGAACGTTAAAATATCAACTCACATGAATTTCAAAGAGCTTTCTATAAATTCAAAAGAATAATGTTTTTTCAAAGTAAGAGTTTCTCTCTTTCTCCTGTATTCAAATTCAAAATCCTATAGAAGCATTTCCCTTTTTCCCAGGGACGTGACCTCATGACCCTTACTGTTATAGACCTTAGAAGTCAGTTCCTACTTAGATATTCTTGACATAAACAGAACTAACACAAAAAGCTTGAACAGGAAATATCACTGTTTGAATAATAGCAATAATATAATGACTAAGCTTAATAAAGCAATCTGACTAAGAAATCAGGGCTGTTTTAAACCTAAGTAAATTGGGCTCTTATAACTTCATAAAGATCGTTTCTGCCCTCTTCCAATCTGATTTGATATAGGGTGATTGCAAAGAATACGTATGGAAAGGTTGTGAATACGGAAATTTAATTCTCCTCTCCAACTCTTTCTGGTAAAATGTAACTATATGAAATTCTGTAACACCAGGTAACATATGATTCGTTTATTTGTACACCCAAAACAAACCTGGGATTATGCAGCATTTATCAGTTAGATCACGGGGTTACTGACACAGTGCCTTTCCAAACAACGGTCTTTGAACTTAGAGCTAAGCGGGCATTGGTCAATACCTCTAGAGGGAGCATCGGCAACGTCTAGCAGAAAAGTTTGGTCAGAAGTCAGAAAAAATGAATTAAAGATTCCACGAGGTCATAGTCTAACTGCAAGAGGCACCAGTTGGGTCTTGATCATGTAACCAGTTTGTTGATCTGAAGGCCAGCGTGGCCGCTGGTTGGCCATTAAGGCAAAGATTTCGATTAGAATGAGGCACCATGATCAGTTGTGGATCGCATGATCAAAAGATGGTGGGACATTGTCATCAAAGCACTGTCAGTCAGGTACAGCTGTAAACGATTCCGCCCGTGATTTGTTTTCTCAGAATCAAAAGACAGGTGGCTCGAATTTAGCAAACAAACAAGCGGGTATCTCGTTTTGTTTACGATGAATAGACGAAAATTGAATTAATCAGATTACTTGTCATTGAGAATTGGCACTTACAAATAGAACTGGTAGTGGTTTGATTTTTTTATGAACAACGTGCATTTCTCACACTTGAAAATGTCTAGATTCCCACCCCATGAAATCAGAAACGAGGCACGGTTGTTTCAAGGCTTTTACATAATGATGCGTTTTCGAAACAAGGTCATCTTTGACAATTTTGACTTAAAAAAAACTATTTACAGTTGATGTTTTTACTCGTATTGTTTTGATATGAAAGAACGGCAATCTGTAAAAGGAAGCCTGAGACCAAAGCTACCCATAAGAACCTTAATTTGTCTTACGCGAAAAAATCTTCAAAAACTAATTTTTTCCTTGTTTTTGACAGCTGTACAACATGAGCGAGCTCCACGAAATTCACAATCAAAAACAAACAATCCGTTCGCAGCCTTCGAAGCAACATTCCAGCAGTCGAGAATGCAAGCACTTCAGCAAACTCAATTCCCTTTACTCCAAGCTGCACCGCATTTTTCGCCACCACATACCCCACCAGAAGACCACATGAATGGAACTGAAAACGGCAAACAAAACGGTTTCATGACAATCGCTAGCCTGATTCAGGCGGCGAACGGTCTCGCGAGTGGCCTAGGCCCTCAGTGTAACGGAGGCAACACGAATGGTGATGCGATCGAAGCATCGACAATAATAACAAGTTTCGCAGATAAGATGCAAATGACAATGAACTCGCTGCAAGCTAACAGTAGTTTAAATGGAACGAACGTCAACGGTAATACAGTAACGACTACCAGCAATGGGTCGACACAGTTTTCGCAAATGCAGCTTTTAGGAAATTTCTCGCTACCGCCTTTAATAAACCCCGATAAAATATACGAATCTGCGACGCGATACCTTTATATGTCAGTGAGCTGGGCACGAAATATACCGACATTCCTCGAACTTCCATTTAGAGATCAGGCGATATTATTGGAAGAAAGCTGGAGTGAGCTGTTTGTACTCTGTATGATACAATGCTCACTGCCGCTAGACATTGGGGTGTTACTATCAGCTGCTGGACTCCAAGTAAGTAATCATTGCATTCAAAGTAGGTCAATATCCAAACATCATAAAAATCGACCAACGCAAAATAATGTTACCAATTCTTCACGAAATCATGAAAGGGAATACTACTCTAAATACACTGTAAAGTAGCACTTAAAGCTTAATTTCGCCAAAGAGAGGAGGGCAATTGCCCCCTTCCCCTGTAAGCACTGTGGCCAAGGGTGTAGTTGTAGGTAACTTTTTGGGATGAGGGTGCAGCTTCTGATGAGGCTGAAACTCACCTAAATAGCTTGACAAAGTAGGAAGCTTTTTTCGAGTTTTCAAACAAATTTTTTGCTGTTGGGGGGCTGTAGCCTCGATGCCGATTAGCTACTGCACCCCTAACTAAGGCCTCGAAGTCGGCCATCGCACACTCTACCTTACTAAAAAACTTTCAAAGTAACAACTGGAAACTTTGAAGCACTCAACATTCTGTCTCTATGACGAATATAAGGTATTTTTTATAGAGAAATTTATACTGTAGCCCCTTTGGACTAGAAAACTGCAAAATTAGATTTGCGTTTCATTTTCCTTTCTCATTTTCAGGTTGATAAAGTTCCTTCTGAAAAAATTGCTACAAGTATGGCAGATCTTCGTTTGTTGCAACATATTGTCCAGCGCTTCCAGGGAATCCAGATAGATTCAACAGAGTTCGCATGTTTGAAAGCAATTGTTCTTTTCAAGCCAGGTAAGGTTAACATTTTTGGCTGAATCGAATAAATCACCATCAGGTATCCATCCCAGCAACAACTCACTCACTTGTTATGGAGTTGGCTCCAAAGCTTTAGTTAGCTGCAAGTCGAATAAGAGTCGAAAAGATCCCCCACCCCGAAGTAACGCAACCAGCCAGCAAAAAAATTGGAACTTGATCTTTGAACTATAATGCAGGAAGCAAGGTTCTGTAAGATAAGAGCAATCAAACGCTTTAGCTCAATGAAATATTGCGATTCTTTTTACATTAAAAAGGGTATTAATAGATGCAGGCGCAAACACTCGCAAAGATGCAGGCGATTCGACAGGCTAGGGTCAAAAATTGATATATAACAGGGGTCCCTCAACGATTCAAAATTGATTGTAAACATCAGACAATAAGGGGTAAGCTAGCTATTACCCACTTCAAAATACTGAATACCTTTTAATTCGCTTTGGTTAATCGATTTTTCTTTTTTATCACAGATCTCCGCGGCCTACGCTGTCCACAGTATGTTGAAAGTCTGCAGGATCAGGCGCAAGGCATGCTGGGTGAATATATTCGAACAGCACATCCATCGAATCATGCTCGCTTTGGTAAATTGCTGTTGATGCTGCCGTCACTGCGATCTGTTAGTCAAAAAAGCATAGAGAACTTATTCTTTAGAGGTGCTATAGACACAACACCGATCGACAAAATGCTATGTGATATGTTCAAGTCGAGCTAGGCCATCCGCAGCTGCATGGCTAAGTAAGCCATAAAGTTGATTGCAGCGATACTTTTAGTTGTTTCAAGCAAAGCCTTGTCTACTTGTTGTATACTAAAGACGATCAACCCAAATAGTGATTATAACAAAAGACACAAATATTGGAATAAAGATCATTGAAAAGCTTGACCAAGGTAAACGGTGATTGCTGCGACTGGTATAATACATCAGATTGTCCGGGTGTCGGTGGACCATTTATAGTAACGAGAGGATTTCCTGCCGCCAAAGCTGTCTTTGTATAAATATCAACTGACGATGTCTTACTCCATTTAGGATTTGTAATTTCTCTCTAACTCTTCAGATTTTGTTAGTTGCCTTTTATACTCTATTGTTCTATAGGAAGCGTTTTTCTTCCATAGTGTTTGATATCGCTTCGATTTGGAGGCTATCCCTGTTTACAGATCTTTTCGTTGCAAAAATGTAAATATTGTAAATATGATATTGAATTTATTAAGATCTGATTTGATTGAGATCTGATTTGATTGTTAGTAGAATATTGGATCATTGCTCATGTGTCTTCTACCGCAAGCTTTCCAACTTTTATAGGGCCAGGAACGCCAGATAACTTTACATCTCTGAAAAGTATTATTCATCTTGCAAAATTTAGGTCTAGTCCTTCGGTAGGCCTCTGGCTTATAGAGAGGGGCAGACAGTGGCGGCGCCAGCTATTACAGAGTGGGAGGGTAATAGGCGTGGCCAGTGTGACCACGCCCCTTTTGCCTCGTTCCAGTGATTTCTCCCTTTTCTTGGGAAATTTGATCTACCCCTGCCCAGCGCTTTTTAATCCATTTTTAGAAGAAACATATAGACCATATTTTCAGAAAAGTAGGGATGTAATTACTTCCCCCCCCATACCCCCCATGGCGCCGCCACTGGGGGCAGATATTGTAAGTTTATTATACCTTGGAACTAGCCATAACTTAACGCATCAGAAATTCAATGCCTATCCAGACAAACGTACGACCAGACGGAGAACACAAAAATTAAACGCGGTGTGATCATTTGCCATCTATTACTTTATCAGTTTTCAGCGATAGTTAACCATTTACTAATAAGTTCTTCTATTTGATATCGATGCTCATTCTAAAACCCAACTCCAAAACTAAATCATACCTTTGAACAGTAGAGTATACATGTGTATAATGAAATGACATATAGTACATACCTCATACATATTTATATATAGACATAAATTCAATCGATATTAGAAAACGATTGTAGAGTATCTGGAGGCACAACTTGACAGTAAACCAATGGTGTGTTGAATAACAGGGGAAAGGAAAAATGGTATGTGTATCTGCGAGCTTTTGTCTCCAAATTTGGTTAAATGGACTGCACTTGCTTGAAGGTAATAATGTTTGGGTGGACCTGAATGGGATTCTCTATCTACCTAGCGCTATTATTCTTATAATGACTAATAATACTTTAAAATGCCGAAAAAATCTTAAGATGCATGGCACATTGAGAAGGGTCGCTTGAGGGTTTGGACTTTGACTGGTTGGGAGAAAAACTAAGCCAAATGAATTACTAGAACCTGATTGAGCTTACTTAATAGGCCTACAGAACCTTAATCTCGTAGAATAACGAACAAAATCTACGAACCGTAATATAACCTAGCTACTGGAAAAAAAACAACAACAGATAACTAAAGGAAATGTGAACAGACTATAGACAAAATGGTCTAATGCTTTGATTGAAACTGATAAAGGTTATATCTATCAAAGCAGCAGAAGAGCAAGATCAATTATGCTTTCGATGATTCAAAATCAGTTTCCAGTGACTACTCTTTAGCCATGTATATGTGCGTTCTGGGTGTAATACAATTTGATCCTGCAATTTATTACTCCCACCTTGTGAACACAAAACATCCTTGTTCATCTGGTAAAAGCTATTGTATTCAAATCTATCTGATTCATCATGAGCCTGAATCTGACTACCCTTTCTAAACGCAAAACGACGGCTAAGTAGAGATAACCCACTTCATTGCAGGGGTCACATTAAAATTACGTGAAAATAAAGCATGCTTTGCTGTTTCATTCATGGCATAACAAAGAAATATCAGTCCCTTAGTTGGTATTTATCCCTGATTCCCTCAAATCCTGAAATTTAACCTTAAGGGAGGGGGGGGGTATTCATATTGTGAAGAGTTTTTGGTTCAATGCTATTATAAAACGAGATGCCGTGCCTAAAGAAAATCCTATAGTAAAACTTGGATAACAGGAATAAATAAAACCCAAGAACGTAAAACAATAAGCTTGGTCAGTATCTATGATATATGAATACATACTTGCAGCGTTCTAGAGCTGCTACCTATGCTTGACAGAAAAACTCCAAAGTGTTTTCCAGCAACGTTCTACATTTCTCACGAACATCGGTCATTCATAAGCTTTTTTAGTCTATGCTAGGTAATTTGATATTTCATCGATGCAAAAACTTCGTCAAATCACTATCGACATACAAGAATAGCTAGAAACATAACAAAGAAATCTGGGAATCAGAATTTTATTAGCAGAGGAAATAACTATTGCTAACCCATCACTTTACTAGGGCCTTCTGCCCAGCTGTCATCCCAACACATACCCGATGCCTTATTGGACGAAAGACATTGTTTTAAGTTAATATACGTTAATCTAACCTACTTAAAAGGTGGCTTTCGACATTACCGTCTGTATTTACCTGATTGAAAAAGTTGCGGAGATCTGGGTTCGATTAATTGTCTGCGTATTTGAAAGTCTCTACATATGGACTGAAAGCAGAAGCTACAAAATATTAATATTCTGAAAATAACTTAGTTCTCATTTAACTTCTATTGAATATTTAAGTTGAGAACTTACCCCACTATTACCAAAGAAATAAACAAAGCAATTATCGATATATTGCGCCATATTATCACTGATAAATACAAGTTAATTCTCGTGTGGTATATTTGAGTTACATCATAATGCGACACGGTAAAATACTGTCAATTAAAAATAGAAATCAAGTTAATAGTCGTTTCGAAAACGACGCTGAATTACATCTATATATATGGCGAAACGACGAAGCTTCGCGGTCTTGTGTATGCTATACTAAAATTTTTCAAGATCATATTTACGAATAATATCTGAAAATTACTGTATACCGGTCGGCGCAGTTGCAGAGAATTTTTCTTAGCCAGATTTGAGGATAGCTAAACCCGGAAGCCAGAAAAGCCCGGCCTCTTTATGAAAACATGAATTCAAGGCTGATTTTTGTCAGCGCCGTGTTTTAAATGAATTTTTCTTTACAGAATAAAACATCTTTTTTTATTAAAGGAAATGCTTAAATTGTGACCCTTAAATTTTTTAAAATTCTTATAAAAATGCTTCGATTAACAATAGCATCATTAGGGGCTTTGTTATTTTTCGGTACAATCCAGACATCATATCAATCTGGTTAAAAATTATTCTGCAAATTAATATTTGATATGTAATAATTCTAACTATATACTCTCAACTAAAAATGAATTTCTCCTATTAGGAACCAAACTGATAGTGCGAAAATGATACCGATTATGAGGAAGAATAATAAAATTATCAATGACACCTGTGTGTCGGACATTTCCTTTTTAATGTCTTCATCTTTCAGGGTTTCATCACTAGTGCGTTGTTTTGTCGCGTCCACTGCTGTTTCGACAGGGAAACGGGCCCTCAGTGTGTTATTAAATTGTCCTTTAATCTGCGCAGGAGTATTTGGTGCAGAGTTACGCAAAGCATCATCAATGAAACGCACTGCGCAAATTCGAAAATGGTATTCCTGATCTGGCACTAGCTGCGTGGCAGTGAACTCCGTTTTCGGCCCGTTGTAAATCTGAAAGAAAATTTAACAACGATTGAAAGCCAAGCGACTATGGCTGTCAAAAGATTGGCTGGGGAGAGAAATAATTAAAATTGACTCAAAGTAGCATATCCAGGAGCCTATTCTTATGAATTTTGGGAATCTATGATTGCCCTGGAATGCTTAATCATAAAACCACGTTCTTTGGGTCTTTTGACGAATGCTTTAACAATTCACCTTGCTAGAAGGAATTATAGAGCGCATAAAAATTCAAAGGCAGACAAATGTGACTTCCATCAAAATCTAAACATGATGATTGTTTTTTATCAAAAGATAATGTACCTCAGAAAAATCTTTGGAATGACCAACCCGCATCTTCTGTACAATATAATGAGTTTCATCGTCAGACCTCACTGGATTGTTTGCTTGCCAAGACAGTTTTGCTGAAGTTGAGGAAATTCTCTTCCAGGCAAAGTCTACAAAGACAAAAGCAGTGTTTTGTTTGATTTTGTTATTGTGACTATCTTGTTGATCTTCGTATTTTAGGCATTCTAAAAACAAAATAAGGTAACAAAATATATTTTTTCAAAGATAACGAAAATTACTGGCTACTGGTCGTTTATAAAGTGCTCGATGCCGTACAGTCAGAGGTGTACACTCTATTTGGTGTATAGAACAGGACTGCTCTAAGAGATGTTCTAAGTTGCAAGTCCGAGTTTCACGCTTTATGCAGCCATCAAAGATATTTGAACAAATCAAAAGATTAGTCAAAAACTGAGGGATTTCATAAAAAAGCAGGAACAAAAGCTTATACAAGGCATTCAGCCTGTCGTGTGCGGAACCAAATATGAATAAGCCCTGACACTGACATAGCACTAGATCAAACGCCGAACCAATTATAATTTGAAATGTTACTTGAAGATTTCAAAATTGGCGCAGTTTTTTACGTTATTATTTTCGTCTTAATTACCACTAAAAGTAACGCACCATTCTGTTCTCGCACGGATATCCTCATTTTGAAAATCATTTAGAATAATTTATGCATTTGGTTCGACACACGACAAGGTCTATTTTTGATTTGAAGTCGTTCCATAGTCGTGCTACTTGACTAGGTCAGTCGTGCTAATTGATTTGCTTATTAACCAGTAAGAAATTTGCAGCTTTTTTGGTTGAGTTTATCGTCTAGCTTATGAAGGGAGAAAAATGGGAGCTATGGGTCGGGGGTCAATGTAACAAAAATGAGTTAGTGGGGTTAGTGGGGGAAAAACAGTTTAACTTCTTACTTGAGTTATATTTTCATCTTTCAGTTAACATTTACTAAATTTTCGTAAAATGAAAACCAAGGGCTTTCAATACGATTTTCAAAAATATTGACAAACGATGATGGCTAAAATTAGGAATTCTACGTTCCCACACAAGAAGAAGTTTTAGGTAAAAACTTCAAGTGTAAGGCATCTATCAATTATCTAGCCTTGGTTAATTGAAAGCGTTATGGCAAGGCATTGCTACTACTCATATCACTGAGCCGCATTACTAAACAGAAATAAAATACCTTTGACAACAGACGGTGGCTGCGCCTTGGTATAGAAAGTTTTTGGGTCTGAGAAGGAGCCATCACCCGCATCATTGCTTGCACTGATGCGGAAAGTGTATGGCGATAGTTCCTTTAGCTTGCTGACAGAAAATGACTGGGCCATTCCAGAGAAGACATTTACGAACCTGTGAAAACAATTCAATAAGCTTTAATTACCATTAGAAATACAACGAGTAAGAAGCAGCAAGGGTCCTGAAGGTATTTTCATAGAGTGGTACAAGAGAGTGGCACAGGCAACGATATTAAAGAAACCCCCTCGTAAACTCCTTCAGTTTAAAAATTGAGACTTTTGGGGACCAGAATCTTTAATTACATTATTTAACGCTCGCATACGTTTTTGTATACAGGCGTCTATTTTTATTCAAATTATATACAATTGTTTCTTAAGAACTGATTTTACATGGCCAAATTATAAAACAGTTCATATGGATTTCCGTACCCTTAATATGGATATAGAAATCTGGGTTGAAATTATTTTCTCAAGTCTAAAATGTTTAATGTCTCAAGATAAATTGAAAAAGAGTACAACAATGCTTAAATGAATTCGACGGTAAACATATTGACGACGAATAATAACATATAAATAGATAAAAAATGTGAGCTAAAAACGTGATACGTACGACCCGGAGCCGCTTTGCATTTGTAGAGTGAAGTTAAGACCAAGATTGTTTCTCCTTGGAGAGGCTGACTCTCCCCATTTGAGTTTGATGCTTTGATATGAAGATGATATAAGGTCGAGATTTGGAGGGCTTGGGGGCAACTCTTTTGTCACAAGCTGAACAGAATGGCTGTAAACAGAAACAGGATTGATTAATGTTAAAACTCAAAAAACAGCAATGAGCATCTGATGAACAGGGTTTCCAGAAAAAACACATTATAAGGTGTGTATAAGAACAGAAAATCCAGGCATCGTTCATTTCTCGTAGGTTCGAGAAATCGGTATGACTTCTGCGTCATACTAAATAAGAAATGCACTTCATTTAATGCAATGAATACAATAAAATACAATATACATACAATGTTTTATAACACAAGCATCGGAAATCAATTCACTACATCATTCCTTATTATATACTTGTTGGCATTATGATTCAACCTCTTTTTCCCAAGAAATGAACAATCAGACTTCTGCAAATATCTAGTTTAGTCAAGAAACAAAAGCCAAAAACTGAATCTTTACCTGAATGGGCTAGATCCGATTTTATTGATGGCTTGGACGCGTATCCTATAAAAGGTGAATAGATATTTCGGGTTAACAGAACTGGATATATGGTATATAAGTTAGTTCCTGATATAGGCTGGTATGTTCTTGGGTAGTTTTCGATGATAAAGTGTATCAAGAAAAGAAAAGAGAGAGAAACAGTGCGGATTTGTTGAATTCATGAGAAACATATTATTTGAAGGCACTATGCCTGATGTATTTCGCTGGCCATTTAAATTTCCTATTGGTTGGACTACACAACATACATATTTTTACGCATCTAGCCGGCAACGTAAGGCTATTGTTGACACTGAACGGTTGACTGAAGAGACAATGTGCCTTTAATACACTTTGAATCTGTTTCTTGAAAAGAAGGTTGACCTTGAAGCAAATGAGAGGTACGTCAAGACTCTGCATTTGCTACCTTTTTATTCCTTATCCATTAAAAAGTTGCCACAGCCAAATATCAAAATAAATTTATATAAAAAAGATTGAAAATAAACACAAATGCAGACGATGAAAACAGATTTGAACTAAGAAAGATCTTGGAGACTTTCGACAATGTGTGAAATAGCAATGTTTTCTGATGCAGGAAGCTTTGTTCGACCATTACCTATAGGCCGTATCCGCCAGCAATCCGGCTACCTCATGCTCCATATACTCCTGACTGCGACTTTCATTCGACGCTTTTGACCTTTCATCGTCACGGAAACTGAAATGACTTCCAACGTCATCATCAAGAGAAGCATCGTCATCATCGACAGAAGCTCTTTCCGACAGATCAGTAGTACTTTGCATTGCCACTGGTACCGTTACACTGAAATTTGTTCCACCTGTTACTTCCAAAACATACTGGGTGATAGTGGCACCATTGTCATGAGGGTGTTTCCATTGTAACAATGCTGAACTCGATGTTTGATCAAGCTGAAAGTGATTAAAAAGGCTGGCTAGAAGGGAGCTTGTCTATGACGTTGCATGGAAATAAGGAACACAATCTTAAAAGTAAATTGCTTCTGTTACTCTTTGGATTTTATAAAATTTACTGTAATTTGATGGGTGCATACAAGATCCAATTTCATTTGCTAAAATTGCTTTCAATTACGATTGGATGGATTCTTGCCCGCTTAGCACTCTAAGAGAGTGATGAAAAGTTCAACTCTTAGACTTTCTTCTCAGCAGGAGGTTTTACCCACTAAAACCAAAAACATAGATCTAGACATAATTAATTTTCCCACTGAAAATACATTTATTCTCCTATTTTCAATTTCATCTCTGCGAATGACAAGCAGGTATCCACGAAACTTCTAAAAAACCTTTTCTTGTAATTACGAAATTCAAAAAACTTGAATGCTTCTTTGTTGTAAAATTACTCACTACTTTTACGTAGGTAATAGCCAGCGGCGAAGAGGGGAGAGTCTTAACGGTACAGACACCACTGTGTGGACTTGGGCCAGCATTACTCAGTGCCTGTAAAAAATATATGTTAGTCTAAAACAGAGACCATAAAACAGGTTTCCTCAGCTGAAAAGTACAAAGGAGATGGTTGAGAAAAAAGGAAATTTGTGCACAAAGCAAACACAACTTGTTTCTACATTTCATAGAGCAACCTCAACAACACATTTAAAGAAATTTTTTCTCACATTCCTATCCAAAAAGGCAATTTGGGGAAACACAGTTCAATACAACACACAATTTTCAGTAGATTGCAATTTTTCCTTATTCTTATTTGTTATTATTCTGTTTATTTTTATAAACATTTCATACAACCTGCTACTATTGCTGCCACTATTATAAGCTTTAATCATCGAACATGCATTGACCTTTTTATTTGTCACAATCTTTCAATTAATTTATCTAGTTGCGTATAATTCTAAGAACAAAACGTGAATTATTTCATCAAAAAATGATCTAGCATTAACTTACCTGAACTCTATAATAATAATAAGAAGCTGGGTGGAGTCCTCGTTTTATTTCGCAAGAATTATTCACGCCTTCGTACACCTGAAAATGAAACATTGATTGTAACAACAGGGATATTTACGCCCCCATATAGTAACACGAATTATTCCTGTCTTTCTCAAATATGAAGTCAGTGTGAAATCAGTGAATAAAAAACAATTAAAACTTCAGCGTTTAATTAAAAAAGTGTCAATATTGATTTGTGTTATCTGTACTTTATCTAGAGAAATATTCGAAATTGGGACTATTGGTCCATGATTTCCCAAAAGGCAGTAAAAACAGATCTGTTGCTGAAATCCTAAGGAGGTCTTAAAATATTGCAAATTGTCTAACAAGATAGGTTTCTGCAACGTTTTTATGCTATCTTTCGTCCAAATGGTTAGATCTATAGAATGTATACGTATAAATCTTAAAGTGTAAATAATAAATGAAAGTAAAACAGTTGGGTAGCTAGCTAGAAAATTTAATAATAATCAAACATTATACAACAATAGAACATTAGATGAAAGATTTAAACCTGTTTATATGAGAAAAATTATCCCAATTTCCAACCAACGAGCTGAGAGATGAGCTCCGACCTTCCTATGCAAAGCTTTGAAATTCAAACCTGGTATTTCAATACAAAGCGTTCTTTCCGCGGCAAAGAGATCCTGCTCTTAGATTGTCGACAAAAATGGATGGAAGGAGAGGTGGAATTCTTATCAATGCGTGAGAGTTCACATTTTACGAAGAATAATGACGTGTTGAGGTATACGGGAAAGCTGAGAGGCGGGATAAAAGAGAAGCAATAAGCTGGAAGGCTAGGATAAATTTGCTCATATAAAAAGGCTCTTACAGTTCCATAGCACTCTAACCGTGGCCAGTTCGCTACACTGAAACCTTGCTACTTAAAATCGCCTTTACCATGACACTTCAATTTACCGCATATTACCTTATCATTACCAATAACCCTACAATAGTTTACTTTAGTTAACATGGTATGTATTGAATAAAGGCGCCAATTATACCTTCACAAAAGAATCATCCAGCAATTGCTCAACGATAAATCCTGTCACCGATGTCCCATGGGTTTCAGGCTCCTGTGAAATAGAATTGATAAGTCAAGATGTACGTAAGATTTCGTCGGCGAAGTTGTTTATCAAACACAATTCACACCGATAGAATTTGTAGCTTCAAGTGGGCATTTGAACAGAACGAGCTTTGGACAGAGCACAGGAACAATAAGTCAACGTCGCATTGATAACAATCTGAGACGGATAACTACTCTGCTTGATTTTGATTTGTTTAATTTCCAAGGCTAAATTTCACCTTAATTATCTGGGTGAAGTATCCATCTAGAATCTTTAGGAATTTTTGTTCGACACTAAAGTGCATTGGAAGACAGATCTTTCATAGATACTGTAGCATTGCAATTTTCAGCTGTTGTCATTTTAAATCTACGTTTTTGGCGGTTACTTCTCCTAGCAATGTTGTTGTTGCTGTTGTGGTTGCTGTTGTTGTCTGAAATATCGCATTTATGTATTCGTTTTGCCGCCTTTTAAGATGTATTGAAAACTGCAGACACCTTTAAACGTGATTAGCAGATTAAGAGCTGGTCCAACACAAAAATGTCCATAATCAACCTACCCGCCATTCCAGTTTTACGTGAGTCGCCGACTTGCATGTGCATGTTACGTCATGTGGTGCGTCAGGGGGGCCTGGAGCCGTGCACAGTTCTGCAAAGTCAGACCACGGACTCGTCTGTAAAAAACATTAGAAAACTGCTTAGGGCTTTACTTTTTCTCGCTGTCTTCTTAAAGATTTAAAATTATTTAATCAAAACCAAATCAAAATAATGAATAACCACCCTAAGGAGAAATTTACTCATTTTGGGATTGGCTCATAAACAAGTGCGAAATTTGCAGCCTTTTGGCTCCATTTAGGCGCCCAGTCTTTTAACGGAAAACCAATAAGAGCAGCAAGAGTGTGTGATCAATTTAATAACGGTTAAAGAGGTTTATGGGGGGAAATAACCTTCTTAATTTAGTGTAACAGATCATCATTCAGAAGATATTTACCAAATTTTTGCAATTGTAACCAAGGCTTCAATAAGGTTTTCAAAAGATATAGACAAACGGGACATGATCAACGACCAAGGTATCTCCTTACTTAAGCCAAAGGAAACCTATCAACTAAGATCTCTCAAACTAACACAGTCTAAAAAATAGCCAACTATCTTAGCAGGGCAGATCAGTTGATTTCCTAATCGGATCTAGTTTAATTCAATTTAAGGTAACTAATCTAAATGTGTACATCGATGGTGTGTGGGTCTGTCTAAAAAGACAGCGGTTTCATTCAAAATATTAACTTCAATCGAAATAAATCCATGAGTAAGAGATTAAATGTTCAGATCTTTTCATTCGTCTGCAAATTCATTTGTGAAATGTGTGACATCGAAAGTACGTAAAAAATGTACGGCTTCCATGGAATGCTTGCTTTTAAGTGTCTTCAATCCTAACAGACAGTTAATAACTTTTGGAGCAAATTGGTCAAAGGACAGTTTATAAAATCCCCAATGGTAAAGGGATGTTTCAGTTTTCCATCGCTTTCATAACAACCCAAGAAGGCCATACGCTAGTTTGGGTATAACAATGTAGCTTTAAATGTGGAGAAAGAACAAAATCAGCTCACCCCTGCCTTGTTAGTGGCACACAATTTAAAAAGATATTTTTCTCCAGGCTTCAAGCCCGTTACTGAATATTGCCTTTTCTGCCCTTCGTATATATTCTCATGTTGACGCCCTGGAAAGAGAACCAATAAACAATCAACGTGATTTGTTGTGAATAAAAACATAGGGGTTTGGAAGGGTGGTACTCTCAACTGATTGGGGGAATAAACACATTCATACTTTTGTTGATTCTCTGGAACCTAATCAGAGACTTATTGTGTAGGGTACCCCCGTGTTTAGTCAGACTTAGTTTAGTTAAAATCCGTTTTTATTAGTAATTCGCAATTCTGCTGTAGTACTTCGCTTAGTAAATTAAACATGTATCCACGTTGAGTATTACAGTTGTGGTGATGTTGTGGTGTTGTTGTGGTGTTGTTGTGATGTGGCGATGCTCTATGAGAATATAACCCAAAATGCGGTTCACTTATTGTTCCCTTGCTTCCTATTCACCTTCTAGTACTTTACTGTCAAAAGCAAAGGCAAATCAACAAATAAAGGACTTCATTGGGACTTGAAAGTCCTAATAATTGCTTTTCAGTATAAAAGGCGACTTAATGAGCTTTTAAAAGCAGTTTTTCTTAAAGTAAAAGCTACTATCAAAATCAAATTCAAAGACTTTTGAACTAAATTGTATTATTATTAATTGCATTGCATTAAAACGAAATTTTTCAAGAGTTATCATGGGTTTGATTAGGTTCGTTTCTAGATGTATGTAGATAATCCGGTTATAACGTACTTTAAGAGACCAGCTTATTAAGTACGTTATATCCGAAGTAAGTTGTGACGAGGGTAAGTAAAATTGACTAAAACCAAGCACACCTTTTGCCGGAACCAAGCACACCAGTAAGTTATATCCGAAAGTGCGTAATAACCGAGTTCGTTATAACGGGATTCTACTGTACCACCACTAAACAATACTTCAAAAGAGCTTTATTTTGATTTTCAACAGCTGGATAAAAATTGCTACATTCTCTCGGTTACTTTGAGAAGATGCATTTTAAGGTAAAAATATCCTCTCATGGGGGGAAGGGGGGGGGGGAGGGTAGTTGCTTGAGACTCTTTTTGCAACATTAGAATGTCATGATCATTGTAAGTTTTAATTTTATAATTCGACCAAGCGTCGGACATCTCTTGCAGTGTCTTACCTTCGTCATTAGGCCAGCCCATACGTAAAATGTAATTCAATATTGGGGAGCCACCATCATCTTTTGGTGAGTCTAAAGAAAAGACATTTTATAATGAGCACGCTCTTCAGATATCAAATTCACAGCGGGCCAGTTGTGCGGGGGAAGTAAATTAAGAATCGCGCTGATAAAATCATACCAAATCTTCTCTAATCTAAATTAATCTTGATAGCAAATCGTTGTTTTTCTTCACAAGCGGTGTCAATATATTAAAAATTCAAAGCTGAGAATGACGTCAGGGGCGGACTTAGTCAAATCAGGGCAGGTGCAGAAGCCAAGGGATAGGTTGTTCTTGACTTAAACTGCGAGAAACTGATCTTCATTAAGATAAGAGCACGGTTAGAGCAATCTATATATCGATTTTTAACCAGATACAATGTCATTGGATAACTTGCTAAATAAGGAACTTGGAGGCAAGACTCTCTTAGGAGCTTTTAAGGCTTTAATAAAAAATTGACGATTCATAGCTGCAACAATTATTAAATCAAGAAGCTAGGAAGAGGAGAATGAAGAGTTTTTAAAGGTGTATGAAAAGAATATTTTGTGACAAAGCAGAGATCGCTTGAAAAAGGAGACTTTACTCTTTTTATGAACAAAAAACAAAAAATGAAGTGAAGGTAACACAGTAGGAACAGGAGAATTCCTGCTTATAGATTGTTATATAAAGAAAGACGGCCAAAGGCAGGGTTGACATTTTAAGCAATTCACATGGCAGATTAAATGTTATCATTCTTACCCCAATCCATATGAATTGTTGTTGGTTCTTGTTTAAAACGAGTTGACAGTCTTGGTGGCTCGGGTTTGCAAGGGCAAACTGGCAGGGTGGTGACGTGTAAAAATGGGGAAGGCTGCAAAGGATGGTAGGGATGAACGTATACATACTCGTCTAAGCAGCTTTAATCAGCAGCGAACAGAATCATAGAATCATGAAACAACACAGTAAATCAAACACAAACACAGTAAATAAAGCTAATTTCGATCCTGACTTTAGTATCTGTAACTTTAATGGCAGTCTTAGGAAAGAAGCAGAGATTTAACAGATTTACAGAAGCCTGAAATCGACGACTTCCTCTTAAAAACTTTTGTCAAGAATTCGTTTACAGTCAAATACGAGGCCTATATAAAGTTGCAAAATATGCTGGTAGCTTAACCTCAAACGATCAAATATTCAGGATCTGGGTTATGCATAGCCTTCTCAAAATGTGTTACAAAAATCTAATCGATTTTCTCTTTTGATTTTCTCCAGTGTGAACAGGCAATCGTTCAAGTTTGAACCTAGAAATGCGTATTGCTTATATTTCCCTTTTAACCATTCAATAAAACCCTTTATTAATCATACATACCCTTTATGATTAGACAAGAAGCAAAACATATAACAGAACTCCACACACCTCACTTCGGCCACCTACGCCAACAGCGTACACACGCACTTTGTAGGTATGCCCGGGCTTTAGACCCGAAGCTGTATACTCAGCCTTGATGTCTTTGTAATCTTCGAAAATTTCACCTCCTAAAAAAGAGATATGTATTCCAGAAAAATGTCCTAGCATCATTTTCGTTATAACAAATTAGAGACACTGTTGTAGAGTAAATATCCTAATGCCAGGTAACGCAACATTGCTTATCCTACGCATTTTTCTTCCAGCCCAAACTGAAAAAAAGTTCGACTGCTCGAGAAAAAAAAATCCACTCAAAAAAGACTTGAGCAACAGAAATATACATACATAATTCTAATGAAAATAACTTGCTTTTCAGTCTTTTTCATAGTGCTCGATGCTGTACAGGCAAAGCTGTACACACTTTGGCAACATGGGAAGATCTTGTTCTACTCACCAAAAAGTATATAAGATTATTTATACATTTTTTTTACCGATATTATAACACATGACTTGGGTGAAGAAGGATTATCTGGTCCAGAAGAAGCTTTTCTTTATAAGCAAAATTATCTGGTCCAGGAAAAGCTTTTCTTTATAAGAAAGAACCAAAAGATGACAAGTTGGACTAACCTTTTGCATCACAAATTTCAGCAATATAACAATCAATCTCAGGGCCTCCTGTATCTCGTGGTGGGTCTAGTAATAAGAAATAAATAAAATAATTGCACTTTCACGTAAAAACTTCAGTATAAGGGTTTTTAAATACATACTCTCACAGTTGGGAATCGCAACTAAAGGATGTTGGCAGACAAAGATAAAATTTACAGAAATATGCAGAACTAATAAATATTCATGATATTGACAAGCTTGAATAACGTACGAAAAAACATAGAAGAATATTCCAAAATGCATCTTTCTTTCTAAAATCAAACATGTTTTCTATGCACTGATATGAAATAGACAAAAGCGATCAGTCATAATGGTGATCGATCAGTCATGATAGTGATGCGTCATAACCGATTCATAAAGAAATGAGAATAAAATTTCACATGGAGGGTTTTTGAATTAAAAGAAAAGTAGCGGGAAAAGGTTGAAAAAGGAACAGAAAAATTAAATCCTTTGTGAAAGTCAATCCCGACAACGCATCACGCATCCTTTGAACAAAGACGAAAGTTTCTCACCCCAGCAAACTGTGAAACCCTGGGTCTTCGCTTTGCCAACGAGCCGCGGTTTGTCTATTTTTGTTGGTACTTTTGGGAGCGTTTTGTAAGAGACGATTTGACTGTACTTGCTTGTGCCGCTAATGTTTGACGCACTCAGCTGGAGAATAGAGAAAATACCCGTAAGTAATAAGAAACTGTCTAAACAGCGTAATCAAAGAAACGAATGCTCTTCTGTAAATTATGAACAATTTTGCATTTGCTTTCTGAAAGAAATTTCCAATACATTAAACGCATTGTGTTTATAAGAAACCGAGCCCAAAGATGACAAAAAATTAAGAAACTATAGTACTTAAGAAACTGTTCGATTGGCAAAGACGACAAAAAGAAAAACATCTTGCGACTTAATGGGTGTTCTGTTTCACGTTATCTTATATTAGGTTTATGAATCTCTAAAAAGGTAGCACTGTAGCATTTGGTAAGCGCTGAAGTCAACAAAAATTTAAATACCAAGTACTGATCCCGAGCTAAGTTTTTTTTATAAAAAAGCGTGTATGTTAAGTTCAAGAGGTTGTAAAGTGAAGCACAGTTCTAAAACTGTGCGAGGATGGCACATTGGTTAGGATCGCTGACTACAGTACAGACCCAAGGACCCGTGGTTTGAGTCCCATGACCAAACTTTCCCTCAGAGTGAGGAGAGTCACCAGCTCTCTGTGATTCCAGGCAAAGGAATCATGAGGTGTGGTTACATCGGGAGAAAGGACCAGGACACTGCTTGATAAAGAGAGCTTTTTAGGCTCCTAAAACTACCATCGAAACCTAGGTAGCAAACAATACAAGACTTTCACTTTGCGGACATCACGTTCAAAATTTAACCTGCAAGATGGATTTCACTACAAAAATCAACAAATAAATCAGACTCACCCTAAACTTATAGGCTGTATCGCGTAGTAGATCGGAACATGTGAATTCTCTTTTGTCCTCACAGAATACTGGTTTAAAACCGTAGTCCTACAACAAAATACATATCCATGATGCGACATTGTTACGATAATTAACTGGAAGAATAAACCAACAGTGGCACTGATTGGGATCAATAGTCACGTGCTCGAGTTTCTGATTGGCCTATTTCGATCCACAACTGAATATATATATATATATACATTTCCTAGCGTTGAGTTCTCAATAGGCGTACAGTTTATTATAAAAATTTATATAGAAAACAAATGCGGTTACATGTGTGAGTACATCCGGCGGCATCTTGAGTTAATAAAGCGTGAAAAAGGGGGCAAGCTAAAACACTATATAAATATTTCTTCTCAATTGCCTGTTTTCTATAAACAAGAAGTAGGACATGACTGCTATTACCCCTGGAGAAAAAAGTTATTGTGGACATTTCAGTCATAAGTCTCCTGAATTCAATTAACTTAAGCCAAGATCTTTACTTGATGAAATCCACGGCTGATAACAATCACAAAAACACGTTGCAGCCAATGGATGTTTCAACTATGTAATTCTTTGTTAAAGAAATCTTTGGCCGCCAAAAGATTAATAGTTTCAAGGATTGGGTTAACTAGAATCTGGTTTCACATTTTAAGTGTTCCCACAAACAACGTGGGAATAATCATTTGTGGCAATCAGCCAAGGAATATCCACAATCCATGTTAAAAGGCCAATTTCACTTCAATTCTAACTATTGCAAGTATTCAATCGTCACTGTCTGGGTTATAAAATTTTACTTAAATGCATTCTTTGCCGTATTGGAAAACAAACGACGAGAAACATCTTACCAGAAGCGGATTACAGCAACGGCAAATGATATACCAAACTAAGAGCTCAACATTATCAAATCATTTGTAAACATTTCCAATTTCACTCTTCTTGATTTCTCCAATGTTATCATTAGTTTATAATGTTTCCCTAGACCTTTTTTAGGAAGTTCAACAAAAATTTAACTGGCATTTGAAAACAATCCCAGCACAGTATCCGATTCCTGAACCATTCCCTTAAGGGATTCTGTAATTGAGGAAGTGATACTCTTGTTTTTAGTTCATTTAGAAAAAATACTGCTTTGCAACAGAGGCCATGCCTACTTTAAGAACAAAAAGAACGACGCAGTAAGAAATGCTGCTATCTAAGACCTATGAGTTGGTTTATTTGTGATATTCCGGGGTCATCAAACGTTTTAGTTGGTTCTACGCCTCAACCTATTGATTCCTTTTAAACAGGACACGATAGGGCTGGGTCACTTTCCATTCAACAAAACTTCAAACACAGTTTCGGTTTTGTTATCCTTTCACTGTTGCCAATGCAAATTGAAATGACCCTTGAAGATGTCATCGCCAAGACTATGAATACGCCCGTCTGTCTATTGTAGAGGACAATAATGAACGATGCTCTTTCAAGTCCAGTCTTTTAAAAAGATCTTTTGTAAATGTTTCATTGTGTTTGAGCAGCCGATTTTCTTCAAGCATTAGTTTGCGGTCGGTGATTATTGGCCTTTCATTAACGTATTCTCTCAGCAGAAAATACGAAACGATTTCCAGTTAACTGAAAATTGAAAATCTCATTTGTATTATCAAAGGCGGAATGGATTTTGTGACACTGAGGTTAGGGCTTTCACCCTCGCTTTCGCTTGTGTGGCGCTAACAGATATGAACAAGCTGGGACAGCCGCAGACACGGGTGTAATATATGAAGCATAGCCTTTGTAAGAACATGTTACACGTAACGCTTTAGGAGGGAAAGGGGACAAGAAACGGCTCAGAACGTCCATTTTCAAAATCAGATATTTCCTATATAGAAAAAAGATAGGAAAACAAGAAACTGGGAAAATTCAATGTACTTGCCCAAGTACCAAGAAAGCTAATTTCCACAACTGATGGGAACTTTAGCTCCTGGATTTCGGAATTAGGCGGTACATCTACAAACAACAGCAGTATTGGCCTAAAAGGATACCAGCAGTGAACATCTTTCTGTGATACTGTACTCTGTCTTATAGGAATGAGAAGGAACTAATCAGAAACTATCTGAAATTCAAAACTATGGAACGCCTTCGAGCGGAACGATGGTCTTCGTGTACTCTCTATTTTGATAATGATTTAATGACGAAATTCCACTCACCAAAGTTTCATCGTTCATCTCTAGTCGATACTCAGTAATGGGTGCTGAAATTGAAAGTGGAAATTAAAGAGATCTGCTAACCTAAAAAAGGTAGAATTACAGGTAACACATTGTCTTATGAAAAGGTCAAGGTGCTTGGTCTCAGGTCTATAGCTGCAACCAATACTTTGAAATGAGAAACCAAGATCTATATTGCAGCACCTCTTCAATAGAAATAGTAATACTGTAAGAGACATTAGAATCTGTAAGGTCAATTAACCCCAAAAATCAATAATTTAATTATCCATGATGGTTGGAAAAGAAGGTGGTTAAAGAAGACTGTAAAACACATAATCTCTTTCCAAGATGGCATCTTAATCACATATGACACTTGCCACAATCTGGTACAAAATGCCGTTTACATAGATCAACTATCCAACGACCTTCTGAAAATTTAACCAACGTCGCCGTATTTCTCTAACAATATGACAACTATTTTCTTGAAATTCAGATTTCTTCAAACGATAATGCAGGTACTGTCTTTGAATCAAGAATTCATTGGCAAATTCACGAAAGCTTCTCATTTCAAGAACCCGCTTTAGCGACAAATTAAAAAACCTAACTTCACTGCCCCATGGAATGCTTTGTGTTGAATTAGTGGATAATCTTTATTAACTTATTCTTTCAAATAATAATTACGCTTTATCTTATAAAAAACTTCTTGGCGATACAGAATTTGAAAATGGCTCTGAAAAAGCAAACATTGTAAACATATTTAGGCTTTTACGTCATAATTGATGTTTCTTTCATTTTTATGAAGATTGTTTCTAAAACTAGTAGATGGAAAGACGACCAGACTCTGTCAATAATCAGAAACATACCATCATTTAGGCGAGGGGTGGGGGGTTGTTTCTAATGCTAGAAGGAGCATGCTGTTTCATTCTTTCCTCTATTCTTGGGAGTGTGCGTCCTGTGAATCACTTTGGCACGTAAATTCCTAAATGACGGACCTAATAAATAACTTCCGGGTGGCAGGAACGCAATCCTTTTCAAGAGATGGGTGGGGTTTCCTTGTACTAATAAACATGCATGGAATATTTACTCTTGTGATGGACATTTCATTTTAACGAACAGGCTTTCAGGTGACAGGCCTAAAAATGAAATGTCATGTTGGTACAAAACTTACATTTTGGTTGCTGGTCAAACCATTGCAAAATAATAATGCATAAGATATTGAAGCATAAGACAAATGATTTATTTCTATGTAATATGAATTCATAATAATTGTTAACCTCCATTATCTTTTGGTTGAGTCCACTGCAAGGAAAGTGTTGTTGATGTTGCCTTGACAAGCTGCGGCGGTTCAGGGGCATCCGGCGGGCAAGCGCTTGTCATGCATTCGAGGATTCTACTGTAACCACTAAAGTAAGGACAAACAGGTTTAGAGAATCGAAACGGGATATATCATACCTAAGTAACAGCACTTAATAAATATAAAAAGTAATTTACTTCGCCCAATATAAAAAACTAAAGACGCTTGTGTAGCCTGTCCAAAGGGTCAGCAAAGATGATTCATGAAATATTTCTAAAACTGATAAGAAGGGGTCTGGGTAAGATCCCTAGTCTTCTGCCATCTTGCAGTGAGTTCGATATTTGAGCTTCGAATTACCCTTGTTGCAAATGCACAGAAAGTAAACAAATTCAAATATATCACTGTAATATTAATGTTCTTAAAATAATTTTCGGAATATTTCGAATCCTTGTTTTTCTTCATAACATTTCTTCATTGCTACTGTCGTCAATGGGTACCTCAAAAATATCGAGAGCAACGGGACTTCGTCAACATAATCAGGCGAGAAGACTTTTTGAGTGAGAATCTAAGAATGTGAAAATATTTTTGCTGATCAACCGATCAGTCAATCGGTCGATCAAGCAGTGCAGACTCAAGATCAGCCATCTGATGACCTAATGGCACTGTTATCTGACACGAACAGTCGGACAGGCTGAAAATTTACCGCAGCTTCATCCTACAACCACAAAACCGGATCTGGCTGCCCAGTTAAAAACCATTTATACCAAGTTTGAACATCGCCTCCGCATAGGTGTCATTTCAATACAACATAAACTGTGTACTTGGAAGTGTCTATAATGTTTCAGTTTGTTTGGAATTAAAATTAAGGAGGGTCAATGTTTAAAATCCCTAAATGGTTTTCTCTGTCTCGTTTAGAGAATCAATTCTTGATGATTTTTCCAATGAAGTTGCTACCAGATGAAAAATATCCTTTAAGCAGATTTAAAGAGCAAATCTTGCAACGATATCCCACGATTAACACAAGATGTGACATGCTTTGACTGAACCAATAATTCACGTTTAGTAGCTTGAAAATCGCAAGTAATTTTATCAAGTAACATCGATCTGTCTGTTATTGTTTCATCTTGAATGTGTATGCGCAGAATAATAGGCAGTCTATTTGGAAAATACCCTTACCTCCATCCGTTTACATTACAGGCCCGGAGACGAAATTTACATGGTGTACTGGGGGGCAACTTGTGTGCCAATTTGTGTTGCCGTTCTGGTCCATTGTACACCTCCTCAAAATCTGCTTGCGGCTTACCCTGAAGCAAAAAATATAAGATTAGAAAATTATAAATATCAGAGTATTTATTGTGAATAGAGGCTTAGGACTCAATTCTCCCTGCTTAATTTCATAGAGAATGCCAGTCCCCGCCAAATACACATGGCGAATGATGGTAATACCGCTAACAGCCAGTACAATCACTGACTGGAAATTATAAAGGACGAATCAATTTGTACCTTTGGCTTATTTTAAGTGTTTTAGATGATACATAATGAAACTGATTAACGCAACTAGGGTTCCTGGTTTCCACGCGAAACACAGCCCCTTTTGACCGTCTTAAAGTGAAAATCAATGAAAAGGCCTAGCGGAATAGCAAAGAAAGGGCCACGAAAACGATGATTTTAAATCAATGAGCACCATCTTAACAAAGTAGGTTAAAAAAAGAACAGTTTCGGTTTTCTAATTCGATTATCTTTTAATTCACATTAACTCTAGATCAGAGGATTTCCTTCAATTAAATTGTAATTATTTGCTCATAGAAACGCGGCTAAAATCAGCCTTTACAGATTCATGATTAGAAGCCCTGAAAAAATTCTATTGTCAGACATAAACAACTTAAGATAAAGTTCCGATGAACTTAAATCGTATTTTGCTGCAGTGATTTTGTTTTGATTGTCTTTTATGCATGGGCAAAGAAACAGAGTTCAGCAGGTGTTCCTGAGCTTTTTCCAGGCATTTTTTCTATGGCCAACTGTTCTTAGAACAAACTACACCCAAAAATCTCGTTCCTTTCAATACAAAAGAAATTTCTACTTCATTGAATCTGGTAAACGGTATACACCCCTTTCTTCTAAGGAGAGTCTCCACAAGAAATACTAGACTGATTTTGTTAAAACTCAAGGAACTTTAGTACAATATCTTCTTCAGGTCAAAAAGTTAACTTTCGATGTTGTATTATCAAACCTTTTACTCTCGATTTTTCTTCTAAATATAACTTCATTGCATTTCAATTTCTTGCCAGAAAAAGTGAAGTCACTTCTTGTTTTGCCAACATAATTTGCACATGTTCACACAAAGAACTATAAAAATTTCTATTCTAGTTCGGTTTTTTCCTTTGAAGGATATTTTCGGTCCCTGCGAAAGATGTTGCGGTTTTCTTTACCTGTTGACTTAAGGAATGCTAAATGAAGCTTTTTATGGCGGTAAAAAGTTAATTTACTCATGTACCAAGGTTTTGCGAAGGTTCTTTAAAAAATGGATGTACAGTAGTTTTGCGGCTCAAGCCTCGGTGTTTCGTTCCATTTATTTATATGAATGATGTACAAGAAGAATGGTGTCGAAATTTTGAACTGAAAGGTGGCGGCCTTGCTCTTCAAAACGATAAGCAAAGTACTTTGCATTATCCATTAACTTGGATGCACAGAGTGCTGATCTGCAAAGAGGAAGAACTCAGAATGAATCTACTTACTCCGTTCCATTGAAGGGAATATGCAGTAATTGCAGATCCACCATCATACGGAGCCTAATTCAAAGAAAAATAGATTAAAAAATTGGAAAAAAGTAAATTTAATAACAGATTCTTAGCTGATCATGGGCGAAGCAAATGGGTTCTTTGATTCCTTTAAAGTTTGAAGTTTTTGATTTCACGAACATTATCTTTGGCCGTTGCTATACTTCAAAGTATGATCGTGTAAGGTAATGACACTTTTCCCAACGACAAATGCAAAAAATAATTAGCTAAATAAAAAATAGCAATAAACACAGGATTATATACAAATAACATTACAACCAGTAGATATGCGTGCAAACTAATTGTATTGGGAAATATGCCTAGCATTATCTGGTGATAAAAGATCAGTTAAAAGAATGCAATTGTCAGACGAACATACACTCCATTTAACAAGCAAACTTGTCTTGGTCTTCTGTGTCACTTTTGGCAAATTTGGAGCACTCGGGGTTGTGCTTGGGGTTGCTGCAGTGGCCACCTCAGAATATCTTCCTTTTTTCCCATCGATTATGACACGAAGCCTGTAGATAAAATATCAAATCAAAGATGCTCCAGCTGATGCACAAATATAAATTGATACCAGTATACCTGGCTTTTTTTAAGAATATCGATTAAGGTCCATAAGAAGAACAAAAATGCATTGTTTTCCCAAGGGTATCAGGCAAAACCTTAAAATACTCAAATTTTTATAGGTTGGCTATTGACTTCGCTGTCTTTCAGAGGAACATTCATCCCCATACAACAAACAACTTGCTTGAAAAAGATATTGATTTCTTTTGGGTAAATATCGGAGAGGTTTGTGGAAAAATGGCTAAGAAACAAAATCATGGTCTTTATAGGTTTGTGGAAAATGGCTAAGAAACAAAATCGGAGTCTTTATAGGTACTTCAAAGGACTCGGTGCTCAGAAGAACGTATCTGTCACAAGTCTGTTTTTAAATTTGATCTCTCAACTTGTAATGGTAAAATGTTGCCTTTCCATTGATGAATGATTTAATATTTTTGGTTGAAACAAATTGCTTAACCTGTCCCATTTACAAAAATATGAGATAATTTTGATTATTCGGATCTGATAAAAATAAAACTTGTATTTAAAAACCCATTCAAGGCTTTACATTCTTGTACTGTACTCGTAAAGACCGCTCGGAAAGGTTCTCGAGATCACAATAGAGAGACGGTTAGTTAAAGGATACATCAGAAAAAAGAAATGAGGCTTAAACAAATAGCTATTGAATCAACTCTTTTAATTCTTTTGCTATGAAAACGCACGTATTGGCTGATTTTTATGACGAACCAAGTCAAAGGGCAATAGCAAATTGGATAAAGTATTTTTTGTACGTAATCCATAACCATTCATATGGAAACAATATCTGAGAATTTCCGGGCCAGGTCATCTATCTTTAAACCACATCTGCTAAGCAAACCTTTCAGATACGTATAACTAGACAGTTAATGGATTGACTGGTTTTACTTCAACGAAAATTAAATCATTTCTTTGCTATGCATCTATCTAAAGGCCTGTTTAAATGGGGAAATTTCATCCGGCCTAATTCTGAAAGCGTGAACTTTCCATCATCCAGTAATAAATTGTCCAACATGGTACGATGGACATTTGAGCTTTCTTTATTTGAAGAAATTGATAACAAAACCATATTATCGATCAATCCACTTTCAAAATTGATCTTGATAGACAGCCAAATAAAAAAAAGAGCAGATGGGCTTCACTACCAAGTTGCAAAATCAAGTTTCTAAAGGCCTGTGTCAAGCATTGAGCAAATAGTAGCCATCAAGTTAACACAAATTTTAATACCAATGAATATCTTCTTGCTAACAACAAATAAAAAATAACCATAACAAAAGGGAGGGGAAGGAAGGATGGGCTGAAATATTGCCAAAAGTAACATCAAATTGACCAGAAAGATCGCCCTGTTCGGGTTATTGTTTGAGAAACACATAGCAGATTAAAATTCTAACTCATTGTCGCACGTACGGCTATGAAAAAGGCAAGTTCTTTCTTGATTACAATAGCTGCGATCAGTACCTTCCACACAGCTGTTAGGAAATAGATTTGAGCATTTTTACCTTGCGGTAAAACAGAAGAAGATTCCTAAGTACAAACCGCGTATTTTTAATTCTGTGTTCATAAGCAGTATTGAGTGCTGAATTTCGGCCTGTAAGCGGCCCTGCGCGCAGCGTGAACTGTGAGGTTCTGCAGAGTTCGTTTTGCCGCCTCGATTGCGGTACAAGAAAAGACATATCTAATGGACTGGATTTTGCACGTGACATGAAATTGAAATGAATACTATCAGATGCTATTTTTATAACATACCTGAAGGTGTACTCGGTCGCTGGGCTTAAACCATCTGCCAGATATTCAACTGCATTTCCACTATATTATAAAATCATTATTATTGATAAACATCTAACAATCATTCTTAATTTTCAAAGAATCGGTTTTAAAACATGGTTACAAATTCAGTGCAAAAGGTATTTAAAAAAATTGAAACAGAGTCAGATCCAAACAAACTGAATGGCGGCAAACCCCCGTTATTTAAAAGCGAAGAAAGACGCTTGTCATCATATAAATAAAACCTAATGACATACGCCAATCGGAATCGTGCCACGAAAGCACCAATCGGGGCACGGTAAAACACCAGTAAATGAAATAGCAACAAAACACAGCAGTATTTTCATACTGACGTCACAAACTTCTCTGTGACCCACAAGACAATACAACCATGTTCTTCTAATCCTTGCCCTGCCCATGTTGTAAGCGTTAAAAACTGATTGCATTTGGCTCTATAACAGAGATTTTACATTATAATAGGATGTCTATCGTCCCACATTCGACTTACAAACAGCTCTATCAATAACATTACGACGCAATTCATATATTGACTTCACTCATTAATTTAATAAACATAATCTTCCGTTTAGCTTTAGGGTATTTCAAAAAATCTGTGTAGGTATATGTATGTTAACGATGGAACAAGTACCACGAAGATGGCTCAGTTCAGACAGTTCAGTTCAGTTCATATATAATTCAAATGGCTGAAGACCAGACAGGTGTTTTTGAAATAAAGTAACAAACTTTAAACCAATAGTTGGCTTGCACAGATTCGTTGGCATTGGTTCAGAGATGTTAGTTTCTCAAAGTAAAATATACATAGATTTGACAGATAGAGAATCATTTGCGAAATGACGTAGAACACATTGTGGAGCCACTGCATGCTGTTCAAATAATAACTGGAAGTTGTAATCAGAAGTCTACAAGGGGTCTTCTATACTTTTCTCTATCGAGCAAATTAGTCTATTAGATGCAAACTGGCTGACCATCTACAAACATCTTATGAATAACACAAACTCCAGCCACATGATTATAAATAATTTATTATAATCGGTCTCGCACTGAAGAGATACAAGAAAAGAAAGCATCTTTAGAGAGTTGTTATGAACAAGTTAGCTGCAGTTGGCCTTCATTTTGTTGGCTTTCAAATTACATCAAAAATACAATTTATGTAACACACTGGTGTTATACAATATCTGGTACAACCAAGCTTTGCAGCGTGTGCTAGATATACTTAACTCTTAGTAATGATAAATTGTGACCTTAATAGCTCATAAATTTGATAACTACCACAACAGCTTACCGGCTTACTAAGATGAAGACATGGTAGTTTTACAATTATTACTTCAATACGACAAAAGTAATTGCAATTCAAACTTTGATCGACATAATAACAAATTCATAACATCCCACTTCTTATTTTGCACATTCGAGCTTCCAACAAACAAATGACTAAAATGAAAATTGTAGGACATCGTAATCCTTTAAATCGCTTGATTGATCCTTTCAAGCCAGCCCCAATCCCTTTAATTATCTCCCTTCTTTCAGGAAAAGCTTCTTTCCCGCCTTCACCAATCAACCTTACAACCAATCAAAATGACATACCAATCGCTTATCCTTCGTTACGACAACAGGATTCTATTACAACCACAAACACTCCTGCACCTATCATCCTAACAAAAACAAAAGTTCTTACCAGTAAATGGCTCTAAATGCCCCGCCCTTCGATGACATTTCGAGTTCAAATATACAGTCTGTAAGGTGACTATTATTTGTGACGCAGTCTTCCCAAGACATGTTGATTGTTCTTGCATCTCTTGCAGTGGCCTAAAAATAAACAATCACATCTAATGACATGTAAGCAAAATGAAATAAAAGAAATTCACAAATTTCATTTCACAATATTTGCAAGTGTTTGCCTTTATTTCCCCTGTCTTCTTTCATTGCTACATTTTGCTACCTATTTTCACAAAAAGCTGACTGTAAAGTTTGCACCTTAAAAGGTTAGTTGCTAGAATGTCATTTTAACAAGTTACCGTGATAACAACGAGATATTTACATACCAAAATAAAGTTATTAGAAAAAATTATCGTGATAAAAGAATAGGAAAAAATTGCAATTGGTTTAAAATAAAATTGAATTTCGAAAAATAAATATGAATATTCGCATTAAAACTAAGCCTTTGGAAATAATAATGTGAAAAAATGATGCTAAAATTCAAATAAATTCCATGTTATCTACTTACAGTTGGAGCTGCCAATACTGGAATGTCGTTATTCGCTTCAACGGCATCCGAGTCACTTGCATCTGTTAAAGAAATGACGTCATAATTGAGATGGGTCGCAATCGCCGGTCAGCTGTTGCATATGCGTTCATACCCTGGGTACCAGAGCCACAAAAATTCGAGAGCGAAAAGAGAGGATAGGAGTGGAGAAGCGCAAGAGCGTTTATTCCTTCTTCTCTGCTTGACGCTCCTCCGCTACTCCGCTTGGTATTCTGTTCACGCGCTCTAAATTTGTGGCTCTGGTACCCAGGGTAAATGCATTCACAGAATGGACTTGATTATGAAAAAAATTTAAAATGGACTTAAATATCAAAAAAAGTTAAAACGGATTTACATGTCAAAAAAGTTTAATTATAATTTAAGAATTCATCTGGTACTTATTTCCTCTAAATTCGCGCACCATTATGTTCGTGGTACATTCGCGCACCTGCCTGTACCCAGTACTTTCTTTCTTTCCAAACTACATGTCCCTTTCCTACGAACCCACTTATTGAAAATTTTTGCTGCTAATTACATGGTAACAAGTGTTTGTCTTGTTTCTTTTCTTCGTCACATTTTAGACTGATGAGATCAAGCAATAACACAAGCTAGAACAAATACGGTCACGAAAATAGGTTTTTATAGTTTATTACTTGATTATCTCGCTCTTTTCTTGCGGAACTACATACATTTACTTTTTCATAAGTATTCCTTAAAACGATTGAATGGCTCGCTGGGACAAATTACTCCCAATAGCCACTGAATTTTTGTAAAACACAATTGGCTTTTTGTAGCTTAACAATTACAATAACCTTGCTGACGACTTCAGAGTTAATTTTGACGATGCTACTGAAGATCACGCGAGACAAAAATGCTGGTGAAAGTGAAATCAAAATGTTCTTTCGTTAAAACTTTCTGCGCTAAATGTATAGTGCTGCGCTATATAAAAGAAAATTTGACTTGGGCCCAATGAAGCAAAACACAACCGGACACAACCGTCAAAAACGTGATACCACATCCTTGTTAACTGTGGCATGTTCCTTTGGGGATACTGCTTCCGTAAAATCACCCGAAAGTTTGAAATTAATGGCAATTTTATGGTCAGCCGGAAGAGGCTTAAGGCTTCGTCAAACCAAGGTTAAAACTGCGGACGCGCTCCTGTCTCAAACAGCCAACATATGATGTAATTTGGCTTATATCATTTACAGGGCCAGGAATAAAATTCAATTTTTCATTCAGTCAGTAGTAAAAATTCAAGTTTTCTTCAGCTGGAGCAAACAAATCAGCAGTAACGAGTTTGAAATCTGAGTGTTTCATGAGGAAAAAGGATTGAAACGCTTTTGCCAACTCTGATGAGTTACACATAATATTGGATACACGCATATTTTTATACGAACAATGATTATAAGAATGTAGCCCTAAACAAAATGGTTTCAGTTAATAAACATCTTCAGAACAGGAAAAGCTAAAGCAAATGGATGGAAATGTGTCATTATGGTAGTTTAAAAAAACATTTATATATTATTTAGCATTAGCCAGGGCCTGACTATATCGAACAGTTTTTTAAAATTTTGGAGATCGGTCAAAATTCTATCAAAAACACCGTTTTGAGGGTGTCAAGAAAAGAAATTTAGCGCCAAGGTGCTATAGACCATGGGCTTCTAATGATATTTAAGTTGGTTTAAACATTCTGGCCCGATTGCGTAAAGCCCGCAAAAACAAAGCTTTTTGATGATAAAAAATGTGGAAAACCACTTTCCCCGCCGCGGTCTTTCAGTGGAGTCTGAACGTTCACTTTAGGATGCTCATCGGCATTACGGTTGACTAGTGGGAAGCATGAAGGAAAAAGAGGTTCTTATTATCTCGGTCAGTTTTTTCGCATATAAGGGCAATAAGGACACGATATATTGTATCCACTTAGTGCAATTGAAGATCTTTGGATAGCTTCGGAAAAAATATAGATTTTGCTTGATCGCTAACGTTTAAACGACGTAAAACTATTAATGTGCGCAAATTTAAAACATGACAGAGGGAAATATGATTTTGCATGAATATATTGATGAAGCAAACGATGAGAATTGAATGAACTATTCCAAAGAAACCAAACGGGTTGCCGAAATAGATTTACTCCTGTTATGACGTCAGACTTGGTACCAGGCCACTTTTAAGGATAATAGCCGTAGCCTTTCGTCATAAATAGCGCACATTCTCACACATTGATATGAATTTAGGATTAAAAATCCATTCAAGTTGCTATCAGAAAAGCAGGCCGAGAAAGAAAATAATGGAGGAGGGATGACGACAATAGCAGTAGCAGCAACTCAATTATCTGTTTATGGAATTTCTTATATTCTTGAAGAATTTATGAGATTCTTGTAATGGTTGACCCAGACGCTCTATGGATTGCGAACAATAACTCTATATAAAAGCACGGATTATTACAACAGAATTCACCCGAGCACATGAGTTTTTCAAGCTTCCTCAAGGTGAACAAAGAACTGTTATTTAAACCTGTCATCTTGTCTTAGTGAACTTCAAATAGAACAAGCACTGGCACTTTTCCTGTGTTTTTTTCCAACTTAGTTGAAAACTGGTATAAAGGACTGCTTGTCGGTTTCATAATATAAGCAAAATTTAGAAAAGTCTGAGGGAGGTTTGATTCACAAAAATGTCCATGGATTCATGGAGAAAATCTTTTATATGCTATGTTTTTTACATCAACATTACCAGCAAAATACGAGACGCTTTTTGCCACACCAAAGAGTCAGTGACTGACAAAAATATATGACGAGACTGTTGCAAGAGCAATGAATAACAAATGAACAACTAACTGGCTGCTTTTCGCATTTTATTCGAGAGTTAATATGCAATGAGGTGCAACTAATTAGGCTGCATCATCAACTTCAGCACAACCAACAGTGCAGTGCTTTATACAGAGTGGGTAATGGGGTTCAGACACCCGCATTTGCCAATACAGGCCCTCACAAAGAGAATCCATTACAAGCATAAACTCCTGTGTCATTTTCTAGAGTCATTATATTTTTTCCAAAAGACCCTGGATAATACTTTTAATTATTAGGGTTTTCATACAGCTTATGAAAAAACTTTCATATGATTTCTTTCCCTAGAAACAGCTAGAAACAATAATACGAAATGCTAAAAGTAAGACAAAATTTCACAATAACCAGAATAACTTAGAGCAACTGAAAAATGTCATTATAGTAGCTTACCAGTGCTTTCATACTTTGGTAAAGGAAGATAAAATCAGACTTTCTACTTCAGGGCTATTTTTACATATCCCACAGACGATAAGCTTTACACTTCTTGAATACATTAATTATCATCATAAAGTTTGATAAAAAATCAATACCACTACTGTTCTTAGGGGGTGGGGGGTGTCTCTCAAAAAATTGTTTAGTCTTTTGCTTTTAATGAAAAATCTTTTTTCCCTATTTTTCTTGAAAATTGTTTCCCTCTATCCTTCCTTCAGTACCAACCACCCTAACAAAGAATTTTACAAGTAGAGGTAATAACTTGCCTTTCCCAAAATGTCTACCAAAAATTAAGCTAAATATTCAGCTGATATTGGAATTTCATGTTTACAGTTTTTTTTCAAAGCCAATGCTGTGTAGCAATTTTCAAAAGCTATATGGCGGATTTTATTCAAGATATGAGCAAATCACTCATTGTATCCAGGAAAAAGTAACCCTTTAACCACAAAGCCAAGTGACCAAATGTAGCCACATATGATCACAAAGATTTCTAATCTAGTTTTTAATTCGTGGAACTAGATTGTTGTTATTGAGTAAATAAATTGTTAGCTTGTTATAAAGAAGCTTTGACCTTTCTAAGCAAAGAGTGATTGTGCTACATCCAAAAAACAGGTAATTTGCAAAGCTAACAAGCACAGAAACATAAATGATATCTTAGTCATATTTCAGTGCATGTTTAAATCAAATGAATGCTAGGATAGCAAAAGAAAATAGATCCTTTAAATCAAATTATGATAATAAAACAAGAAGAGTAATCAAGGATAGCCTCATATTACATATAATGTTTGAAGTTGAGACCAGCTAACTAAACTTAATAAAAATTTAAAATCTTGTTTGCACAGGGAAAACAAATATGAACAAATACAACCAAAGCAGGGGACTTTCCCATTGATCAACATACAACATTTGTAGCCATTTGCCCCAACAAAATGATTACAAGCTTTTCGCAAGCTCTGTTCAATATATTTTTGCATTATTCTTTGGCCTAAAAACATTTATCTTTCGCTTGGCTTTTGCCTTCCATAAATCAACAAAGGCATTTATGAAGAATGTTCATTTTTTGGAATCTCCATTCACAGAACATCCTTTGCATCAAATATTTTATTTTGCCCTCTAACTCGCATTTTCTTTGAATAATACTTAGTCAATATATCTTTGAGAGATGGTGTGAAGGAGAAGGTAAAATAAATTGCCTAAATTTACTTTATAATACCTTTCCACTCCAAATAGAAGACAAAGATTTACTATATATTATGACCAAATTTTCACTGAAAAACCTTACTGGTCATAGCATTTCTATCTAAAAATCTGAAGAAAATACATATTCCCAACAACCAAATTTCCTATTTTTCTGCTGACAGTTGATTGATGGTATTGCTAAAGAGAACACGGAGAATCATCCTTTAATTCAGACATGTAGAGTTTGATGTTGCTAAAAGATTTTTGACACTGCAAACTTGATAGAAAACTGAACTTAATGTATAAAAACTAAGCTGTAATATTTGCAGTGGTAATACGGCTTAAAAAAAGCAGTTTTTGATCACTTCACTTACAAAGCCCTTCCTTTTCATTCTCCAGAAAACTTCCGGTTATTCTATTACGAAAAATTGGGAAGATGAAAAGTAATTCAAAGTGTCTTATCTTTATTTGAAAGAAAAGCAAATTGTCAAACAAAAAAGAAAGCAGGAATGACATTTTTGTAAAACTTTATCGACCATGACAAAAGGCCCCAGGCGAAGACTTCCTCTTGCCAGTAAGATGACGACAAAAAGAACAGGGCTGTCTGTAGCGCAATAATTCCGGTTATAAATAAAAAAATTAGACAGCGAATTTATTATGTACGGGGAGGATAGGAAGAAAGAAAGGAATATCGATTGAAACATGGCGGTATCGTGTTTTGCTTGCGTTTTTAACCTGCTGAATAGGATAAGTACGTTCCACGTATCATTTTTTGAAAGAAAAACAAACATCTTTGATTTGATACTCTCAGATTCACAAAATGACTTTTTCTAATCAAACCCAAATGGAATTGCATAAACAGGTTTAACATGATTTTGTGCCGAATTCCAAATGCCAAGTTCAGATTAATTTTGTTAGGCCATGCATTGGATACAAAGCTCGTCAAACTTTAGATAGCTTCTAGAAACCGATATCCAGCAGAATTGAGGTAATTCATTTATAAAGCACGACTGTGGCGAACTGCCTATTTAAATTTTCCAAGTACATCGTAATTAAGTAAGTTTCAAGTATAAAAGTCTACTCACCGCCTCCGTTTTCAGAAGGCATTGGCTCCGATGATCCAGGGCCATTCATTTTCGGTTCACGTCTGGAATTATATTTTGAACCTGCTGACATTTTCGGGGAATGATTATAAGAACCAACGTAGCAATTACAGCCTTGGGCTTGTTTATCTCTTAATTTTCTTGGGGGGTTTTCCCTTCGTCTATCTCCACGTCCTTCTTCGGGGTTTTGTAAATATCCATTCGAGGCACTCGACTGAGCATGCAACTGACAATGGGGGCTGTGGCTTTCAATAGGGCCAGACAGGCCCCTTTGCATGAACAAATTTCCTGGAACCTGTACTCCATAAGGAATGGCATTTGGGTTAAACGGAGCTTGCTGGAATTGCTGAGGTGGGAATGGAGCATACGAATGTTCTTGCGGGTAAGGTACTCTAAAAACAAGGCCTGGTTGAATCTCAATGCATGCACCATTTTGTGCCATGTATTGTGAAAATATTTGTCCACTCAATGGGCTCACCAAAGTTATCATGTTCGTCTGTCCATCACGTTGAGGCTCAACTAAAATATGCAACGACTGTTCATTATTATTTCGAGGGCTTCCTTGCTCCGGACTGCTGCTTCCATTACAGCGACTAACCCTCGGCGAAAGCCTAGCCGACTCTGTTGCCATTTCGCGATCAAAATTCGATGAAAATAAAAACCAGCAAGTTTAGTCTATCAATTATAAACTCTTCCGACTGACAGCGCAAGAAAAATCTCCAATTATAAGGCAGCTTCTAAAAAAGAATTTTGTCCACGGGACTCGCTGGGGATTTGCCACAGGCAAACAGTGAAAATATGCGAAAAGACAGGCCGAAGTTTTTTCCAAAACAACTCTCCAGCACGGTGGTTCAAGCAGCCGACAACATTTCTTGAAATCCGCTCGGGCAGACAAGAAAATTAAGTTCGGTACCAAAGAAATCCATTTATTATTAAAAAGGGACCTTCATGGTGGCCGAACGTCTGCGTTGTTTCTTCATGGTCCACTGTCGCTTGCATAAGCAAGGTCATGTACAAATGCACACACACGGCCTATATTGCAGGTAATTTACCTAGGCCGCAAAAACTCATGCTAACGATACCAGAAACTTCTACACCCACCGACTGTAATCCAGTTTCATAAGTCCACCAACATAAATTTCTAAATATTATTGCCTTCTTCCTTGGTTACACACGAGCATTCTCGTTTCCATCTACCGGTCTAAACAAAAGTGAAAACAAATGGAGATCATGCGATGCCTAGAAAAGATTACTGCAAACACTCTTTTGATCAGCACTGAGAATCATCATTGTCAGAAATCGTCAATCCATAAAATTCTCAGCACCGGAAAGGCTTCACATCGTTGCGGCTTGGTCAGCGGCAGTCAACATCAAGATGCTGTTGTTGCTGGGCATAAAATTCCTCCGCAGAGCCGTTTTATTGATCAAGATTTTCACTCATCATCATAATCATTATCATCGTTTTATAAATCTTTGGAAGGGTAACTTTCTTTCTTGCCACTGCTTAGTACCAGACTTAAAATAAATTTTGTGTATAACAGGGGACACAGAGATATCTAATGTTGTGATGTCAATGGGGACTTCGACTTTTTGAAAGCAGGACATCCTATCTTGCTTTTATTAATGTAACACACTTTAAACTTAACCCTATAATGCCCCTGGTAGCAGATTTGATCCCAAGGCCAGCGAAAGCGGGGGGACCGGGGGGGGACACTTAAAATAAATTTTGTGTATAACAGGGGACACAGAGATATCTAATGTTGTGATGTCAATGGGGACTTCGACTTTTTGAAATCAGGACATCCTATCTTGCTTTCATTAATGTAACACACTTTAAACTTAACCCTATAATGCCCCTGGTAGCAGATTTGATCCCAAGGCCAGCGAAAGCGGGGGGACCGGGGGGGGACACTTAAAATAAATTTTGTGTATAACAGGGGACACAGAGATATCTAATGTTGTGATGTCAATGGGGACTTCGACTTTTTGAAATCAGGACATCCTATCTTGCTTTCATTAATGTAACACACTTTAAACTTAACCCTATAATGCCCCTGGTAGCAGATTTGATCCCAAGGCCAGCGAAAGCGGGGGGACCGGGGGGGACACTTTCCTGCAGAGCTAAAGGAACATTTTAGGCAAAAGTGGAAATATATGTAGTATATCATTCTGTAAGTAACTGTGCTTAGTAATCCCTTACATTTGCCTTTAGATTTAGCTTGGTTGCTTTGACTTTACCTTAAAAGACATACATAAAATTGAATATGGGAAATAAGATCAAAGAAATCGGTCATTGTCTAAGTTGTACAACGAGTAACAGCTTGGCTTAGGAAATAGATCGAGAAAACTAGTCCAGAATAACTTGGTGCCAGCACAAATTGATGGAGTTTCGTTTTTTCTATTGCCTAAACGTGGCTCACAAGGTCTATTTGTTAACAACAAATCTCTCAGGAACATTGCAAAAAGAGAGAAATTGCTAGCGATGTAGAAGGGAAAGAAACTGACGAAAAGAAAATTTTTGAGGACATGAGAAAGAAAGAATGGGCAGATTTGTTCTATAAAAGTAAAATCAAGAAAACTTCAACACTTGATTGTATCGATAATCCATTCCTACTAAGAAAGAAAATCTAGACGCAATTATAAATTCTATTAAAACTATTTTTGATTTTTGTTCAAAGCACCTTTTTCCCGAATTATTTAAGGTCAGATGCTACAAAACAATATCCCAAGTGTGCAAATTGCTTAATTTGCTTTTATTTTAGTTGATAGGTCTTCTGTTTTTGTCGAACTTGCACATATTGATTAAACAAAGCTTAAATATATTGCCTCGGATTTTCCTTCCGTCAAAATCCATTGTAGATACAGTCTCTGGCCATCCCTAAAGTACAATAATCCTAAAAAATTTTCTTGCCGCCAACCATGGTGGCGGCCTAACCTAAGCCCCTTCAAGACTTTAATATTTGGCCCCTCCACTTTCAATTACGTTTCGCCGGTCCTGTGATCCCTAACGTCCTGACAAAGATACATATACTGAGATTCTCCCGCAAATGCCCATGGTAGCGCATATGATGTAGAACTATATCATGAATTTTTTTGCTCAAATATGTTTATCTCATACATATTAGCTTTTTGCGTGGTTGACACAAGATAAAATTCAGCAAGAAATTGTATGACTGGTAGGTAACAACTTTACTTGGATGCTCTTATCAAAAGTATACTACAGTCTCCATCCAACAGTGGCTCTAGCAATACTGTTCCCTGAAATGCCGCGTGAAAGTAAATTAAATGTCTGTTTTTCTACCAGCTTCAAGAATTTTAGAATATTCTGTCGTGTTAAGTTCTTGGCGATCGCCTGCTTATTTGGCACGATGAATTACCGATGATTCAAAAATTCAACAGCAGGGTAAATCCATTGCTTTAAAATATAATACAACGGACATCAACATTATTTGTTTGTATAAACATTGACTCATAGAATATTTTAGACTCTGAAATGCGAGCAGGGGCGTAAGAACCGGGCGCACCATTATCAAGTAACACTGCCCCAGGTAATGCTGCCTGAATGTTACCACGTGGGCACATAATTACTTCCTATTACGAATCGAAACTTGGTTTGAAAGACACAGTCACTGACAGAATCCCTAAGATGTAAAATTTCAAAAAGCCAAAATTTTATTTTCCATTCAGCCCATGAAAAAGAACCAGTATTGCCTGCCTCAAATTTAACTGCAAATTCCTGTTTTGATCACGATTAAGCTCTGGAATTTGCGAAACTTGCATTGCAAAACTGAAAACTAACGTGTTAGACGGGCGTGTTTCGAGTCCCTGAAAATCAGGCTAATGACCTTGAGTTGAGGACAGGCCCGGTGAAAACCATCCCCGGTGAGAAATAATCGGATAGGGGAGCCCCATTTCTTATCATTGAATGACCGCGCCATTTTCCCATTTCTTCGCCTCCCTTGCAAGTTAAGCATTTTTGTCCACATTTGGTGCATGTGTAATCACTTTGGCAGGATGAAACAAGACGGAAAAAGTTGGAACTATAAACTTCCTTGGCAACTCCGCAGGCAAGGCCCACCTCACCCATGGTGCAAATGATTAAGGGGGGGGGGGGGAATTAGATAATGATTTGATTTTGGACACACCCTTCATGGGAATGGAAAATGATGGAAACGCCATTATTTAAAATTTCATATTTTAACTTTAAGTTAAAATAGATAAGAGGACAAATAAAGCAAATTTTCTGCCTCATTTGGTTACTACTAGTCAGGCTGCCTACCAAAATCTGCTTACCTAATCGAAACCAAATTCACCGAAGAACGCAAAAATATGGGGGACGGTAAATCCGTCCCTGAAATTATCTTCTTGTCCCCATGGCCTATTTGACACCGAGCGTTGTCAACATGATCGAAAATTTTACACTGCCAGTCGAAGACAGATTTGCTGCATGGCTCCATATTTGGCTTCCATCCCCCCTTGGTAAAAAGGTCAGGGGGCTTGTTATACAGGGGTGTTTTAGGAGCAGGATGTAGAAATGAACTCAAAGATAGCTATCAGGTTTTGCAAGGGAAGAAAAGCTAGTTATCTCTTGGTCATTATGCTTGAAATGAGCAATGAATTTAAGTTAATATTCGTGAGTAGGTAGATTTTTGCCTGGCTGAGTATCGGATTTGCGAAAATAAAAAGGAAATGTCTAGTCGGTGGAATTGGGAAAGATTTACGCCATAAAATGTTTGATGTTAAGGCACTTTATGCAAATTAAGAAAAGAATAAATTTAATACAGGAGGAGTAAGTTTGTGAGAAACTTCTGAGGCTGCTTCTCTATTCCACAAACACCTGCTTTCGAAAAATCAAGTGCGCACAATTTTATTTCATTAATTTTGAATGGTGCAAAGAATCGATTAAATGATTTGATCAGTTTTGAATGATCTAAAACTTTTGCTCTACAATTGCAAACTACCTGCATCGAAATAGAAAATAAGCCTCAGTGATTTCAGGGCTTAACTATTTAACTACGAGTCAGCCTGAGATATTTTAGTGTCATCGAAAAAAGACGAGGAAAAATTGAAAAAGCCGGAATTGCTAGTCTAACTCTACCAGTAACTTGAGCACCAGCGAATTGATAAAGGAGGAATCGTGCAAGGAAGAGGGAAGGACGATAGGCAGAGATTTGTTTGCTTTTTTCCCCATCTCTCTAAATTTTCTACAGTTTTAACCCCTCGTTGCCTTGGGACATCGGATATCCTATCTTAAGGCTCTGTGATAACAAATCTGCGGTGGATGAGAATTGTGCATTGATAAAATTCGCTGTAGGATAATCATCAAAATATTAAATTACGAAATTTAAAATAATAAGCAGACGAATGCAACATAACTTGTGATAATGAAAAAAATCGAAGGAAGCAAATCAAAGGGTACGTCAGTTTACACAGCCTCGGTTTCATTTTCTTTTATTTTAAAAAGTACATCAAAACCAGGAAGAGATCAAAGGCAACATTAAAAGGCAAGGAAGGGGTAAGGAATTAGTAGTGATTAAGATAAAAGTCAAAGTTATAAAAAGGTTATCTTTAAAAAAGACAACAGCCAATATGACACTCTTTTTGTGAAAAAAGTTTTATAAGAACTCGGGCCTAAAAACTGGTCAAAAGGTGAGTGAGTAAATCAAAACAAGCAGATTTGATACTGCAAGTTTCCACCTTGAGTCTCCGAATAGAGAAGGTCATATGACTCTACCATTTGTTTGCAGCAATTTTGTCTTGCTTAAAGAAATTTGAGCTAATATGAAGTTTAATTTCGTGCAAATTTATGAAGCCCCCCTAAAATTTTTTCTCAAAGACGAGGAGTTTTTTTCCAGCTAGGGGTGCATCAGTGAATTGGCAAATAATGGAAATTTTACTTATTTTTTTGGCAAATAAGGCCTGAACACCCACGCAATTCAACAGCTTACACCCTAATAATTTACGAAAAAATTAAGAACTATCCAGTCTCAAATTCAATTTACTGGCTCGTAGCAAAAGAGGTGAAGCTGTACGTATATTATATCCAAGTAGCACAGTACGTACAAAATTCCATACAAAGCATAATCACCAGCTACAGGAATCTATATTTGGTCGTAACGATAAGAAGGAATCCCGTTGCCTGTCTGTTCCAAGGCAGAGAAATAACACATTTCAAGTTTGGTATTAGGGGTGAAAAGAACGCAGAGCCTCTTAGACTTATTAAGGTAGGGACAGTAGCATTGCCAGCCCCACGTGAAAATTATTTGCTTTGATTTTAACCTGATCGCCAAGTTGAGGTCCCTTAAATGTAAGGAGACTATGAGAGCAAGGAGAGGGTGTAGAAGGGGTTTT